TTGTAATGAATGTTGCTTTAATCCCGCACATCACAGCCAAAATTGTTGAGAGAATTGGTCCAACATTTTATTCCTCTCTTTTTGAAATACATATCATACTTTCATTTTTTATTGATTTATTTCTTTTAATGTACAAATTTTGATAAAAATAAATTTTTTTCAGCAATGGAAGAGAGATTCTTAGAGCATAAATCAATTAGTGATTACAGAATGCAGTGGCTCATAGAACAAATAGCTCAGAACTTGGATGTTGAAAAAGCCGTTGTGATCAGCATGTTAAACAGACACAATGGTTGGCTCAGGAAGCATTTAATGGGTATTTTTGAAAAAGGAACTGCCACAAGTAATAGGCCTTTGGATGGAAAAGTTTTTTATATTTATAAAACTTTCTATCCCAAAACATTTTATAAAGAAGTAACAATAATGAAACAAGGTAAAATACTTGAGTAGCTATTATTCGTTAGTCAAGCATGGTGTACATTAAAAAAGTAAATTTATATATTGTAAACTAAACAGTCAACAGACGACAAATAATAACAAAAACAATTCTGTGTATATTCATGGTTTTATAAAATAGACTGAAAATAGGCCTCTATTTTGGTTTTATTTCCAAACCATTTCTTAAAAGCACAATAACAGAGGAGTGAAAGAAAGACGTTGGGGGAAAGATAAAAATTGAGAGTAATAGGATGATCGGTATATGAGCTAACTTGTATAGAATTTAACAGATTTGATGATCGTTTGGGGATTCTGCTGCAAATTATCCTTGTTTTTTATCTTACCTTGTAGCTATGGCATTGATTCCATTTGTCCCCAGTTTGACTTCCCATCGTTCTTTAGTCGTGAGCATTAATCAGTCACTAAGACTAGAAGACCTAAACTTAGATGCCTGCTTAGGCACTGCTCACTTCGTTCTAGGATTTTGAAACCTTTACTAATAGCAATGGTTCTACACCTCTGGGAAAATTTAATTGAAATAGATTAAATAAAATTATTTCATTTTTCAGTGCCCAAGCCAGTCACTCCACCTCAGTCAGTTTCTCCCGAAGATGATATGCCCCTGCTACAAAAGAAGAAAACAAGAAAGAGAAAAAAGAAGAAAAAGAAAGGCGAAGTATTGGAATCAAAATCAGCGGAAGATTCTATAATCGAAAAGGCACAGGAAGTGAAAGAACAAGATTCCGACAGTTCTATTAGTCTCCATCAGTTTGATTCGGCTGACGAAATGGACGACGATAAGAATGATGCTGAAACTGATTTACAAGATAGCGATTCCCCAAAAAAGAAGAGAGATAGAAAAAAGAAGAAGAAGAAGCGCGTTAAAAGTCCACAATCAGGTGTAATATTTAAAGACAAAATGAATTAAAAAATTGATTTATTTCCCAAACATTCTATTTATAACATTATCAAGATATATTTGATTATTAATTCATAAATTTGTTCAGTTATTTCAGCACTTGCCGAGACTTCGACGCAACCTGAGCAAGAGATGATGACTGTAACACTAAAAGTAAATATATAATAAATTTTAATTTATTTATAATATCGTACTTTTTATGTTCCAAACCGTAGATATTCAGCACATTATAAAGGAAGAGCAATTCGCTTTCCACCCTGGGCTCAGCTAGGGCAGTAGACTATGTCTTTAAGGACTTTAATATTAAAAAACACAAGTCTTGTCCTCCTTGACATGGAGTCAGTCTTCAACACATTATGGAAATATAGTTTAAAAGATGTTTGGATATAATTTTCCAAATTATACAATTACTAGTGGCCTGTTGGGGCTATCAACAAAACACAAGTTCAAGTTAAAACTTTCGCCTTGCATTGTTTCAGCTTTAGACCTATATGCTTCGGACAAAATGCCACCAAGGGACCAGACAAAACTGCGTGGTCTAGTTTTTTATTATCTGGATGTCCTGAACGCACATCCACAGCTTTGCAGGATTCTAAAAAATATAATTGAACTTCAACCTCGTGTGGCAACAAATCTGAGAGATGTACACAAAAGCACAAAAGCAGTTGACTCACGAAGTCTGGCACCGGTCCCCCACCCTTTATATTTTCATTTATCCTCCTCGTGATTAATAATTTATTCTTTTGATAATTTTCAAAATAAATTTGAGGTCAGGGCATTTGTTTAAGCCAACAAAAACAAAAATCCGTCAATTCCGTAGTTCGGCCGTAATTTTGATCGGCGTTTCGGGCGTTCACAATTATATAAAAATAATAGTGCTCTCCTACCTGGAAATGAGATCTTTTTGTGTTGTCCTCCATAATTCTCTTTTTCTTCTTTCAAAATTGAAGCAGTCGTCACAAGGCTCGCTCTTCGATCCAGAAACAAGGTCCTACATTGTTTTAGTCTTTTGTTCATCTCCATTATTATCTACAGCTCTTTTACCCAAAACTTTGCTGAGAGCTTCATTTTGTATCCTTTAGGCTTTGGCTTTTACTCTCCTAGGAGTAGGAATCTCAGTCTGCATAGGTTTTCACACCAACAGAGGAAATGTTTTGCTGTTTCTACTTCTTCCTGGCAATATCTGTACAGGCTTGTTTCTGCTGCTCAGTCTATACTGCCTCCAGAGTCTGCAGTGCCCTTTCAGATATCGTATTATCATTCTAATTCTAACTAGTTCTGTGTTTAGTAGTTCTGCTGTTAGTTTCTGCGATGATGCTATTGAACCAAAGATTTAGTGTTACCCAATGTCTAATGGATCAACATTTTTGGCGATTTGGTATGCTGCAAAAGGGTTTAGGTACTCAATATGCCATGTACTCAAATAAGGGTAATTTTTCTTGTCCCCAATATCCAGAGCTGAGTTTTATTACCTAATGAAGTGGTTGCCTTTAAGGGCAAGTAGATTATACATAATGCTGCTAGGAATTATCATTACCTTAAAATACAAACTGGTTTCAGAGGATAATAAAGAAAGAGAAGATGGTACCACAACTACATGCTAGAGTGGGAGATGTCTATTTGGACTTCACTGGGGAGCCAACATACTTCTACTTTTTGTTTACTACATCCACTGGAATTCCAATAATGGATTCTTGGGAAGAGTCAAAGGCTGAAATGCCATCCTACTTCATTATGGGTCAAATGGAAAAAAGCTTGTTTGGCAGCTTTCAAGACACGATGAATGTATGTTGTACAAAAAATATTTCCCTTGTTTAAAAATTTTTCAATTATTTAAATTTTGGGATGTAGCTTTTAGAAGATCATTTTGCTCAGTCTTTCAATGATGCATTTGATACAATTCAAAATACTGTTTGTTCAAATAATACACAAAACAACAAGAAATTGTGTCTTCCACCATTAGATACTATTAAATCTACTGGGGGATTTGCAAGGCAAATGATTAAAATATTAACACAAATAAAAAATGAAAATGACTATGTGGATAATGTCACTGTTGACGATCTTAAATCATTGTGAGTACAATTAATAGATTGTGTGATTAATAATTCATGATTAATGAAAATTATTTTCATATGCAGAGAATCTTTAGAGGACAGTACAAATACAAGTGTGAAGACGCTGGTGTACAACTCTCAAGACATTATAAGAGGCTGTTTATCAGATTATCCTGAAGCAGTGCGAGTCGTATTTAAAAGAATACGGTCCATAAAAGAAATTAAGGAGGATCCTGATTTTTTAATCAAGGAAACTTGCCACACATCACATCCTGTGTACAGTTTATTTCTAGAGCGCTTGAAAACATTTAGAAGTTTTGTTGTATGGTGAGCTTTTTATAAAATAATATAACGTGAAATTTTTTTCCCATTTATTTATCTTTGTTTTAACTAAAGGTAATATTTTTTTATAAGTAATTTAATTAATTTGTTATCTCAGACTATTATAATTTTGTATTAAAAAATCAGAGGTATGGCCAATTTGAATGAAACTCAGTTTCTTCGTCTAGCTTTCCAGGAACATATCACCTTCATCAGTACTTTAAAACTATTATTAATAATTCACAAGGTTAACAAATATGAACTTTTATTTACATTACTGAAAATTAAGGTGAATTTCCCAGTTGATAGTGAAATGAGATCTACATGTTCGTTCTGTATCAAAATTAACAGGATAGACATTCATTCTTTGATTTTTTAATACCAAATAATAACAATGAAGTCTGAAATCAATTATATTGAGAGAATTACATTAATTTGTACAGGTGCCATAAAAATCACCAAAATAAAATGATGATAACATTTCCCGAATTGCCTGAACTGGAAAATGCGGGGGCTGAACTAATTTCAGACATATCTCAGGACAAAGATTTTATATTGGCTTTAGAAGACATTGTGAAAGAGTGGGCACAATATATATTCAAACTTTTGGACTTTGTTCGAAACATGGTACGACATTCAAACAGTAGGATATTTGTATATGTTTTTTAACTGCCTGTTATTTTATGTTACTATTAAGATTTATTTTAAGACTAAAAGGAATGAATGTATTTATTAGAATTCATGTGTAGTCTGCGTTGGTTGATGGTTGTACCCTATCTACCTCAATTAGATTAGTTATACAGTTTCATAGAAATATGGAATATTCCAATACCCTATGTGAGTGAATAAAATAAAAAATAATGTATTTAAGACTGAGCAAGAGTGTGAGTGTGCCTAGATTTAAAAACTGCATACATTGGGGGTTGAAAGCTGTTTGGCAACCACTGGAGGCTGGACAACCAATGTCTGACTTAAACTCTAAATAATTTTAATTTGTTTACAGAGTAATTCCAAATTTAAACATATATGTGATATAATATGACATCATTTTCTTCATTTTCAGATGCCCGGTGGTAATGGGCCTATACCCCTCTTCCAGTATTGGTCTATTCGTGTGACAGCATTCTCTCCAATGTACGAAGATCTCTTTAAACCGGCAATAGATAAGATAATCAAAATTTTGTCTATGGCAGAATCGCCCAGACTTGAGGAATTAATTTCAGCAAGAAATGCAATAAAAGCTTACTACAATGTTTCATTGGAAAATACAGATTATTTGAATACCGCATTTACTGAAATCAAGGTAAAAAGAAGTGTCTTTTTTCAATAAAAACATCCTAAGTTTATTTATTTCTTCATTAAAATGTTTTTAAATATCTGTTTATTTGAAGCAACTTTTAAAAAGTGAAAAGATCAAGGAAATGGCAGAGCTCCTCCCTCCAATTTTTGAACATCTTCGTGTACTGTGGACACTTTCACCCCACTGGGGAGCTGAAGATTATTTTTCCCTACTTTTGGATCGAGTGAAATGGGTGGTGTGCACTAAAATTAAAAGAATCCTTGACGTGCAAGATCTTTTTACGTCAGTAATAAATTCTCATTGTGAATTACCACCTTTTCAATTATTGTTTTCAATAAAATTTTTAAACAGGTTAGATCTAGACGTCGTTCGGAAAATTTGTATGAATTCAGCTGAATTTATGGATTTTTGGAAAAAAAATTACCTTGATACAAGAGCAAAGATTGAAGAGACAGAATGTGAACCTAGGTGGGAATTCGACAGAGATAAATTATTTTTGGAAACAGATTATATTGCTACAGTTGCTAGATCACTACAAGAAATGGTGATGGTATGTTTCAATCTACTACAATCTATTGAAAAATTAATAATTTACTTTTTAACTCATTTATTAAATCGCACTGCAAATATTTTAGGTGATGCAAGAGAATTTATTGATATTTTGTCCAAACTTCACGCATGCAGTTATAGAATCAACTCCGATAAAGTTGATTATCAAAAAGATATGGAATCTTACTGTCCCTATAATGACAGCAGATTTTGATATTTTCGATTACGAGTATTCTGAAAATTGGAATATCGTTGTACAAGGATTTTGGCAAGGAATCCATGATTTAGAAGAAGATGCGATAAATGTAATCCAGCAGTCTTTCAAGCAACTTAGGTATGAATTATAAACATACAGTTTTAATTTCAAACATTTTTTTAGTAATGTATTTATTAAAAGTACACCAAAAAACTTGTTCAACCATTAAGTTTTGTAATGATTATTACATACACAAATTTAGTTAAATTTAGGTTTCACCCACTGGTGCCCCCCTAATTAGTCTATTATTGTTCAAACTGAAGTCTAGCAAGCTTTTAGTAACTACACTATTTAAAAAAAAAATCTGTACAGTAATAGCAATAAACTCAATAGAATCAAAAGAAGGCAACAATTTTTGCTTACCTTAATTTCAACGTGGTTATACTATCAGATTGTTCATATGAGGAAGTTGAATGATTGATCGAAGTTAAATTCAAAAATGGTTTTACCTTTTGGACTTGCAGTGTTTATCTGAATGACAAAATAGAATTAGAGAGTGATCTAAGAAAGTTAAACAAAATAATTAATAAATTCTATGAAAAAAAATCTTTTCTTTTGTATGGAAAGTAACTCAAAATCTAGCTTTCGGTTCAACTATAAAACAAATTGACAAGTAAAAATATCAGATCAGTTTTTTTCCCTTAAACTAGATTAACCCAATAAATTAAGACGATGAAAAACCTACTTTTCAAACATCAAGATGCAAAAGTAAAATTGTCATTACTGTCATTACTGTACTGTGTCACTTTGCCCTGCAAGAAAGTTGAAGGCCCCAGTAAGCTTCAGTTGCATTAAGAAAGAAAACTGTAGTTTTACTCAGGGATTAGAAGAAACACTTTCAGTATTGGTGAATAAATTTATACCTCAAGACAATATAGCAGATGAAGAATACCACATGCACATTCTAAATGAGACCAAAACCCTCCATTAACTACAGGTGACACTAATTTCACAATGATCGAACTAAAAAATGCATTTGACAGTTTTTCAAATAAAAGTCCCCTGGGCCAGATTGCATTGGAATATTTCCTAAAATACGGAAGGAAACAAAAATAATTGAGAGGGTTCAGAGACTTCTTCAATTTCCATAAGTTGTTTTTTGGGTCTTCCTTTGCAGGTTCCCCGGTGTTTTTTGTTTGCTCTTGGTTCATTCCTATGATTCCCACGAGTGTGAGGGGTCTAAAGGTGTAAAGTTAAAGTGTAAAGTTCCTCCAGTGTAAGGTTGATTACTCAACGGGGTCACTTGGTACCCTTGAGGCTCCATTATTGGTACAGTTACACCTGTACCATCCATCCATCTTATGGGTTGCATAACATCTTAAATTGGGACTGGAATGTGAGATTAGAATTGGGTTTGAAGTTGGAAGAGGGGTAAGGTGTGGGTTGTTGGGAATAGGAGATGACAGGTCCAGTTCCTGTTTCTCCGTACCCCTCTGTCCATCTGTTTAATTAACAGAGTACATCCGCGTAAGTTTCATGAAGGTGAAAAGTCGGAGTTTGAGGTTTGAGTATTAGAGACTATTAGAGACGCATAGTACCTGATTGTACCGCCTCTCATACTTATTAACCAATCATTGTGATCTTGAATCTGGAAGGACCTAATAAGACACAATACTTCTATCAGAAGCAATATGCCGAAACATTTAGGGCAAAAATTTATTCCAAACGAGTTGAGTATTTAGAATATTTGAGTTCTGTTGTAAATTCCCTGGGGATTTGATTGGTGAAGTAGATTTTACTTAGTACTTGCTAATCCAAGAGTGGCCTTCCTGAGTCTGCCGATCTATTTTTTGTTTTTAACTTGAGGTGCAAATCTAGTTATTGTTATATGTTTGAGAACCGGTTGGAGGGTTTAGCAGGAGAAAAGGACCCAAAGATGTAACTGGACGAAGTCCCCTCCCCCAAGTTATTTTTTTGAGTCATATTTAATATTTTTTCTCAATCTTTTGTTTTCTGTTAAACATGAAAACATTCCTTGTTCTTTCAAAAACTTAAAAGCATTCTCTATGTAAATGTGTGGATATTTACATCATTAAACATTCTTAAACCATCTTAAACTGTGTTAAACTGTTATTTTTTTCTTAATCTTATCGAACATTAAAAACATGTTTTTTGTAATTCTCAGTAATGTTATTTAATGTTAATGTTTATGGTTGTGTTAATGATAATCACATCAGCAACAATTTTTATTTTTTTGCATGTATAAAAGATCATCTGATCGTGCTGTTAGATTACTTTCTCAATTCCAATGTGTTGAAACAAGAGGAAAAATATCCAAAGTATTGACAACTAAATTGGATGATGTCCTATCAAAATTCAAGGATGAAATTCATGAAATCACAGATTTTTTCTCAGTAAGTTTCATACTAAATAACAATTGAGAAAAAAATGTACACTTATTAATATTGTATGTAACAAATTTTAGCTGGGACAAGATGAGCCAACAATTTTGAGGGTGCACCAATTTTTCAGTGGTACAATCACCTGGACTAGACAGTATTTTTTGCAGCTGAATGATAATTTTGAAACAATTGATGAATTAGTTGGTGATATTCACTCAGAGAAGAAAGAACAGGTATATGTTTTAGGCTGTCTTTGCTTTTCTTGGTCTTAACGTGTTGTCATAACCATAAATACTAGATTTCAAATACCACTAAGGGCCCATTTATACTGCCTGCATTGCAATATCACACGAGAAGAGGCTGATATTTCAAACAAAGAAACAGATATTGACTTGTGGATCAGTGTGTGATCGTTTACACTGCTAGTGAAGTGGAGCAATGTCATGCGATTTTGCATGATGAGCTTGCTGTAATCACACGTCGTTTTTTTATTTTTTTTTTAACCACTAATCTATTAAACGAATATTGTAATATTGGTTATTATTGTTTGTGACAACCTGGATCTCAGTATTTTTGTTTATTGTTGTTTGTTGTTAAAAAAAAATCCGTCTAGGGTCAGATTTCCTTGTCTAAATGATTTTCTCATTTCTACAGACTTACCAGGAGTTTCAACGTCTTATAGACAAGTTAAGAGATTATGAATATATTACATTTCATCACTGGTTGGAAAGAGATTTACCTTACCTCAAAACAGCTTTCACAAGGAACGTAATAAAATTAATAGAACTTGGAGGTACATTTGCACAAGTTATTATATTATATTTCTTGTTGTAATAACTGTTGGTAATTTTAGTTCCTATATTGGACGTAACAGCATTTCTGAATAATTTGGATACTGCTTCAGAAAGATCGGCATCTGATTTACAAATGGTTGAAGACAAACTAGACAGAAAAAGTTCAAAAAGGGTGAAGAAAAAATACAAAAGGACAAAGAAGAAATGGAAAAAAAGATATGCATATGGTGATTACGATCCACAATTTTCAAACAAAATGAAAAAACGTCAAATGAAAATGCTTAAATTGACTGGCAAGGAGCGTTACAGATATCTTAAAAAGTCATATATAAAAAAATTAGCATCATTTTCCAAACAATTGAACAAACTGAATAAGAAGAGACAAAAATCAATTGAACTTAAAGAGAAAAAGAAGAAATCGAGAAAAAAAGTTGTTTACAAAAGAAGAAAATTTAGAAAAGTCCCAAGCAAAGATTTAAAAAGTATGATTTCTGAATATACTGAATTGGATGATGAATTTCAAAAGCTTCATTCTGGAGAGGCATTGAAAGAATTTTATAAATTATACAAAGGGAAAAAAATTAAAAAAATTACAGAAAAAGAAATAAGAAACCGTATTCGAAGGGATAAACAAAAACTAAAAGAAAGGCTGAAACGAGCTCGAAAAATATTGCGGAAGTTAAAGAGCAAAATTGAAAAGCTACATTCTGAGAAGCCAGATATAAATTCAAAAAGACATATAAAGAATATAAGTAACATTCAGAAAAAAATATATACTATTCCTGAAAAGTTGCCAAAAAAATGCCGTCGAGCAAGGAGATGGCAAAAGAGACAGGAGAAAAAATTTAAAAGAAAAAAAGAAAAGCTTGAGACTCATGAACTTCAAATTGAAGGAGAAATTAAAAAAATTGAAGCAAGACAGCAACAATTAACTGATGAAGCTAATAAGTTAAAATTGAAAAAGGACAATAAACGTGAATTTTCAGATGAAGTAAGAGATACGGTTCTAGAGGAAACAGAAAGTACTATATCTGACTCACAAAAATATATAAAAGAGATTAAAATTTTTGAAAGAAAGTTGGTACAAAAAAAGCAACAGCAATTGGCGAAAATTGATGCTGAGCTTAAACAGGTGTTTGATTCCACAAAGAAGCTAAAGGACAAAGATATTCACCCGACACATATTAAATTTCCACAAATATATTTAGGTTGTCGTCACGATGTTTATCGCTTTTCATGGAGAGAGTTTATTGGGATGGATTTGTTATTTGAACACGGCTATTCAATAAAGCTCAATTTCGATCCTAATTTCCAAAGGATAGTAAGGGAAGCTGAAACAATACATGAATTGGGTTTTGCAGTGCCAAAAGAAATTTGGTGCTTGACATCTCTGAAAAAGCTACTTTATATTGAACTGTTTGCCATTGAGAGTGTTGTCACTCTATATGGTGATCTGATTAAAAGTCTTTCTGAATCTGAGGTGATTATTCATTATGTCCATAACTAATAATACCTAGATTGTTAGTTATGCCAAAAAAATGTGTTAAAAAAACATTAGTTACATTGATGTAATATTTTTGTTACTTTTTAGCGTGCTGCTCTCAAAAATTTCTTGGTGCAAATAGAAAATTCATTAAATATGGGTTTGACAGAGCATACTTGGAGTTCTATAAGTGTCATTAACTACAGCAAAACAATTATCTCCAAATTAGAAAGTCTCAACATAGTCATCTCTCAAGTGAAAGAAGTAGAAAGAAAATTTCTGTTTATTTTCCAAGTGGTACAAAAAATTGATTTTTTCTCTCTTCATAAGAATACATCTGTGAAGCCATTTTCAGTAAGCAAATTTCAACATGTAGAAATCTTTTTTTTTTAATCAAATATTAATTATGGCTAATAATTGAATTAGTTTTCTCATTTTTAGCCTTAAACTTTCTTTTAGTATTTAAAAATGTCTAAACTTGATCAATAATCATATACTAATTGTCAATATAGTTAGCAATTCCTGAATTTCATTGTTATCAATTAACAATAAATGTAACCATTTTAGGATATTTGTTCTGAAATAGAGACAATGATGAAAAATGCTGAGTCGCTCCTAGCTATCCAGTATGACAAAATGGCACCAGCTTTGTTCAAATTACAATCTATTGCAGAACTTGGATGCACCGGTAGTTCCGAACAAATGTCACTACACTACAAATGGGCTGAGAATATATTTTTTGAAGCTCTGACTAAGTATGAAATACACAGTTATACAATAATATTTTTCTTCAGTTGACAACAAAATGAATCTCCATGTATTATTCTGATTGTTTTCATTGTACCATTGAAATTTGTGATGCTCTTACAGAATATTATTTATAATGTATATCCTGTACTCTTACTTACATTCTTTTGCTTACTACTCTAGTTATTTAAATAGGTGAAATCAACAGCAACTATTTCTTAAAAATTAATTACTATCCAAGAAGCATTGTTGGTCAATTTAACTGAAGTTTAACAAATAACTTAATGACATTTTACAATAACATAATGGGTGCCTCCTCAGAGACACCTAAAAGAAGAAGAAATAATTTATTCTGGGACAGGAGTATTCCCTTAGAATAATACATAGTTTAAAGTAAGAGTTGTAAACTTTTTGACACAAAAATAAGCCTTGTTGTGGTGATCAAAGTAAAATAACAGACTTGTAAAAAACAAAACTCAAGGAGTTAAAATGAAAATAAGTTACTCTGAAAATTAACATAGAAAATAATAATTATCAAGTGAATTTAAACTGTGGTTAAATAGACTGTTCGGAGGGAGAGGAGGTGCATGTATAAGAGATGTTTAAAAGAGGTAAGTGAGGCGGCTTTGCGGATAGTTAGAGGGAGGGAGTTCTCGAGTTTTGGTGCTCAGACAAGGAAAGACTGTTTAAAGGTGCAGATTTTATGCTAGGGAAGGATTAGGTCACAAGGAGATAAGCAGGCATTGCAGGAGTGGAAAGAGGATTTGAATTGGATAGACTAGATAATGTATTGAGGACGATGGGTGTTAATGGCCTGGTAAAGAAAGGAATCAAGGAAGTATAATTTCAGAAAGGGGAATAGAGCCAGGGTAGGTTCAAATACAGCCGTGATACCCTGGATCCATGGGGGATGCCAAAGTAGATGTAGATGTAAATTCAGAAAAAATTTGGCGTACTGCATGCTTTGTAAACTATTATATCTCCTATTCTATACCTACAGTACACCAGCGAATCCTAAATCATCAAGGAATTTAATATTAGGCCAGGTTTTGTGGGTTGGGGGGGGGGTCTCCTGCAGATAAGGGTAGCACCCAGATTGCTAATAGGCCGGGGTCTCTTCTGCCTCTCAGAATCTGTACATGCTATGCTGGTAGATACCAATCTTTGCCCAGTCTGCAGAACTTTATTAAAAATCCTGTTAGCATTTGATGTCACTTCTGTATTTTCTTGCTACAATGCTACAACAATAGTAGACTTTTTATTACCTTTTGTAAGGTTGGAAATATAAATTGACTGGACTACATGTCTTCTTTCCTAAGGCACTCATAGTATGGATCACTATGGGATGAAAGTGTACAGGATCTATCATCTGTTGCAGCCCCTTTCCTTGCTAGAGCATGTTCTCCTGTATCTCCTGGGGGACCCAGTAGAGAGTGATTTTGTTTTCTGCACCTAACCTGTTTAGTTTGGTTTTGCAATTCAGCACCATTATTGTGCTAATGAGATTTGAGTTGCTGTCATGACAGCCTGGCCATCCAATATAAGAGCTATATCATTGTTTTTATACCCTCTGTTTAAATTGAATTGAACACTTTTCTTAACTGTATGGATATTGGATAGATACTGGTATGTGCCATTGGATTCTATTTAATTTTGGCCCCTGTACCTTCTTGCGTCTTAGATCCATCATTGTACCAACAGATCAGAGACTCCTAAGTCAATCAAATGACAAATTACGCTACATTTTGTTGTGAGATTTATCTGTGAGGTCTTTGAGGTGATAAATATGTAAATTCATTGTTACTGGTCTGCCTATCCTTGCTATGCTGGTCTGTCAGATGTGTTTCAACATTTTGTTGGGGTTAGTGACTGACAAACCAACACAGCGAGGAGAGAGACCAGGATGGGCGGTAATGACCAAATTACAAATATGTTCTGTGCTTTTTGCATTTCCATTTAGAAGCTAATTTTTTTACAGTATGGTGCTCCATAATCTACTTTCATTTCAAGACTTCCTTTTGGGAAAATTTGAGTGCAAATTTACCATTATTGTTAGCCTTGGAATAAATGATATTCAAGTTGAACCTTCTGCACATGTTCTTGGATATTCACTATCATTGCTTATACATAAATTCCTGGATAAGTATGCTTTAAATTTATCTAAAAACTTGTTCTGTTTTCTTTTTAATTTGAAGTTGTTTAATTGTTTATTTAACAGATTAAGGAATTTTCCAAGATGGTATGATGGAACATGCCATGAAGTGTCCATAGTTAAAAATATATATACTGAGGAAGTGCATCAATATGCATATGTCGATGATATCGTTGAAGTGAATCTTGTTAAAAAGACAATCAATAAAATTTATGAAACCATAGTTTTTATAATGAAAATGGTTAACAAATACATACTTCAGTAAGTATGCACAATATTTATATACACACCCAACCCCCTGATTAAAATTGTTTTATAGCTGGCAAAAATATTCCCATTTATGGAAAATGAGCCCTAGCAAGACAATGTTAAAATTCTTTGAGGAGAATCCAACACTGGCAGAATTCGATGAATATTTCTCATTCTATCACAATTTGCAGAAGAGTATGTTCAGGCATAAAGGTTTTATTGACGTATTTTGTGTTAGGTGAGTTATTTATTAAATAAATTTATTCAATGGGATTCAATTTGTAATTTATTCAACCAGACTAGTGGTAAGGCCCCTTGTCAATACAATTATTTCAATATCCAGCGAGTGGAAGAACACATTATCAGAACATCTCATCCAAGAAGCTGCAGGAAGAGCCAATGAACTGCTGTCTCAATTTGAAGTAAGTTGTCTTCAAAAACAATAAGTAAATTATGCAAAAATAATAAGTAAATGAAGGAAAAATATTTACAAAATTCCTGATGTGATCCTTATTGCTAAAAATATTATTTTAAATTTGTACCTCTAAGGATGCATTCTCAAGTCCAGTGACACTAAGAATCCAATGAAAAAAAATTCTGTTTACATTCTTAAATAAGGGCAAATTTTATCAATAAAGTCAATTTAAAATAATTTATTTTGAAATGTGCCTAAAGATACAAGTATTATGGTTCATAATTAATAATGCACAAAAAAGAAATAAAGAAATAGACATTTTCTGTGAAAATCTAACAATCTAAGTCAGTTAGACTTGGACATTTAGGGTTTTTGGTTAATAACCACAATAAAAATATCTTTTGCAATAATGTAAACAATTCTCAATTTCTTTTTCGAATACTTTTTCAACATGTCTTAGCCTGTTGGAGGAAAAATAAGCTAAATAAGCTCTGCAACAGTGTCTGCGTCTGGAGTCCTGTCTTTTTTCTTTATATNGAGAGAGAGAGAGAGAGAGAGAGAGAGAGAGAGAGAGAGAGAGAGAGAGAGAGAGAGAGCTCTAGTTTTGCTTTACTTCTATAGTTTGGTACATCATCCTGCATTTTTTTACTGGAGGCACTGGTGACTTTAGTCTCCCTTTCTTTCTTTTATTGCGGCCAAAAAGTCTACTGTAAGTGTCCTTTAAGGTAGTTAAGAACTTTCAATGGTTCCTCTTTGCAAATTTCTCTAGGAATTAGTGTTGACATTTCAAATAGGCTGTACTGTTTACAGGCTAATGCTTTGCAGCCACATAAGTACTGATGTCTGTGCTATTTCTTGGCTTCTTAATATATATTCCTATTATTTTACTTAATTCTTGCTTTCAGAGAGAAGGGCAGACTTTTGTTTTTCTTGGTAGAGATGTTGAGGACCTTCTTTGATTTTTTGCATCTAGTGGATTTATACCGTGTGTGTTCATTTCTTTGTAGTCAGAAGGTTAAAGTTCCAGTTTTAACATGCTTTGGGACGTGCTGATTTAGAGTTCTGGACAAAGAGTGTGAGGGCTGCTCCATTTTTCCTAGTCAGCCTGTTCGATGCCTTCAATCCCTTTGTGTCCTGGCATCTACTTCAGAGTTGCCTTATTACTTTTTACAGGAGCTGGAGATATGTAGGTCATTCCCAAACCAGCTTTGAGTTGAAAGTGAAAAAGTCTAAAGCTTTCAATGTTGCTTGGCTGACTGAGAATATATCTGTGCACCTCTTTTTAATTTTCTTGTGTACGATTTTGGAAAGAGAGGATAATTGATGGTGTGGGCCTAAAGGTTCTAGATAAAAATTTGGTCCTTTGACTCCTGCTGCATACCATAATACCACCCTCCTATTAGTTTCAGGGTTTTTTAATTTTTGGAAATGTATCTTGTTATGTTATTTGAAAGTGTCTGTAATTTTTTTTAAATTTCATTTTGTCAGACAATTTTGTAGCCATATCATTTTATTTTTATTCTTTTTGAGTTTATAATTATTAGACATTTGTTGAATTATTTACATTTATTATTATTTTTTCAATATTTCACATTTAATCAATGATAACACTAATGTAAAACTTTTGCAGTGTTTAATGAAGCGAGTGGCTCAAACTATTCCAAATTTAGCATCCTTTCAAGAAGTTCTTCAGACAGTTAAGGAAATTGGTGACCTTCAACCTGAAGCAGAATGTAGTTTTAAGTACATATTTGAGAGAGTGCATTTAGTCACCATGTGGAAATGCAATGTGGGTATTAAAGTTGAAATTAATTTAATGTTTTTAAAAACCAATTTATTTATTATAATTTACCTTTCATCATGTATTATTTACTATCAGGTAAACCATGAAACATTGAAATTTTGCAACTCCTTAAAAAGGAAATATGGGAAATTACACTTATTGGCAATTTATAGAAGCTTATCACTGTTTCCAATAAAGAAAATATTTTATAAAACGACTGCTCAATTAGCTAGAAATTTTACTGATGAATGTCTGTCATTCACCGATCAATATTTTCATGAAGGACCAGAAACGTACTTAGACGATCTAGAACATGGTTTAAGTTTAATGCCAGTAAGTCAATTAAATTTTGATTGTTAACATACATTTTATAACCAATTTTAATCTTTAGGTGTATAGGAAAAAATTTGGAGATCTAATGGAAAGAAAAGTTAAAATAATGCAAGCTGAAAAGCATTTTAACTTGATACCAACAGACTATTCATCCTTTATCAATGCTTATGAGGAATTTGTAAATGTGGAAAAAATCTATGAAATATATCAGCTACTAAAGGTACATGTAGTAACTAAAATAAGTATTTAAATAAATTCAAAAATGTCTAAATTTCATAATCACGCCCTAAGATTAAACTAAAGAAATTAACTCCTGTCATACTTTGGGTGTCAGAACCCATAATTTTTTTTTTTTTTAATTCTTCTCAATTAAAATCTTTCTCATTGGGTATCCTGGGAATGGAATCCAAAACCCTTGGGTGGCAAATATGGGTCTCGGACGGCCCTCTGATGAGCCACCATAGATCCATATAAAAATTTCAGCTCATTACAATTATGTATGGTCATAAATATTTATGCTTGCATATATTTAACCTTCACTGCCTCCATAAAAATTTAATATGACACTTCCTCAGTTAACCAATTAATAATTTATTTATTTTAGGATTTCTGTAATCATTGGGGTAAGTATTTGTGGATAAACTTGGTACCTAATCGACTCATGAAAGGTATTGATGACTTCCTGGACAAATTTGAAACTTTATCTGCCATCTGTAAAAAACTTCCTGTTGCACAGGCTGTTGAAAATCGTTTAAAAGATTTCAAAAAAACTATTCCTCTAATGGAATATCTGAAGGATGATGCAATTCGTCCTCGACACTGGAAAGAATTGATGAACAGAACTGGTACCATGAATTGTTATTACCATTAGAAGTAAATTTATTTTGGACTATTCACTTGCAGGTCAACACTTTGACATGAGTCCGGATACGTTCACTTTGAAAAATATGTTTGACATTAATCTACACCTGTACAGTGATATTGTCAGTGAGCTATTGGGCAATGCTAAAAAAGAACTCGAGGTGGAAAATTCAGTAAAACAAATTAATGAGGTAATTTTTCTTGACAAATTATTTACTCTGATTATAATGCATATTACAATAGTCGCTCAGCTTTTAAAGAACTTGAAGAATCTGGGGCGCCAAATAGTTGATCCAGTAAAGGCTGAGCCATTAAATGTTGAGGGTTGGCCAAAAAAGTCATCTTCTTAGCTATGAACAATAATTGACAGCATCACACAACGATTGATTATTAATAATTAATATTTTATTATGAATGTAGAGCCCTGAAGAAGTCACAATAAATGATGAAATGACTTTTGGACCACTTCCCGATCACAAAACAATCATGTGAACAATAGTATTTATAATACAATTAATTAAGGTTTTTAGTTGAGATGACAAAAAGTTAATGGCACGAGCGGGATTTGAACCCACGATCTTCGGCTAGATACGCCGCTGCTCTACTACTTGAGCTATTGACCTCGATCCACTCGGACATCAACTTCCTATCTCAACCCCACCTTTTGAATTTTCCCTCCTTTTTGCCATTTTTCAAATGTCGTGTAATCAGATTGGATTCTCGACGACAAATGAAATGGCCACGGAGAGCTTTAGTGAAGTGTACTTCATAAAAAATGGCAAAAAGGAGGGAAAACTCATAAGGTGGGGTTGAGATAGGAAGTTGATGTCCGAGTGGATCGAGGTCACAATAGCTCAAGTGGTAGAGAAGCGGCGTATCTAGCTGAAGATCGTGGGTTCGAATCCCGCTCGTGCTATTAACTTTTTTCATCTCAACTAAAAACCTTAATTAATTGTAATGAATTAATTGGCCAAGCGACTACGAAATTAGTGAATTTAAGTATTTACAATTTTGTCTTCTATCTAAAACTTCCAAATGGATTCTTTTAAACACATATTTTTGTAATGATTATTTTACTCATATGTTTAGTTATTGTTTATTATTTAACAATGTTTAATTTGTAGAAGTGGTCAAAGAAAAAATTACCGATGTTTGAGCATCATAAACAAGGTGAGTGTCACAGCTACAGACTTGGTAATTTTCAGGATATCCTCAGTGATCTCAACGACTGCTGTTTACACCTACAAAACACCACACGATCACAGTAAAATAAATAATATTTACATTGTTATAATTACAACAAAGAAATGTTTTGTACAAATTATTCAATAGGATTTGTTGTAAAACAGATTTGCTACTCCTTTTATTGATGAAATCCAAAATTGGCTGAAAAAATTGTCACTTGCTGATGAAGTATTGAACGAATGGATTTCCCTGCAGAGAAAATGGTTGTATTTACAAGGCATATTTGTTGTTGGAGACATACAGTCCCAGTTGGCTGCAGAGGCTAGAAAGTTTGAAGAAATAGACTCTGATATTTGTAAGGTAGTATCTAAGAGATGATTTCAGTAGACACAATGTAGTGTCTATATAAGTCAGTACAGCAATGGAATTCTTTTCTGCCAGGTGATGAATAATGCATACATACAAACAGATTTTTTAACACAATGCCTTAAACCAGGGCGTTTGGATGAAATAAATGAACTACTTCATAAAATAGACGCTTGCGAAAATTCTCTAGGAATGTATTTAAATAGAAAACGTAACTGCTTTCCCAGATTTTATTTTATATCTGATGAAGAACTGCTGTCTATTTTGGGATCTAATAGAGTTACTTCGATTCAATCCTATGTGTACAAGGTAGTTTTTAAGCGATTTACTTCTTCAGCTATAAATTAATCTAATTAAAATAATTACAGATTTTCTATAATGTGGAACAGCTCAAATACCATTGGTCTGATCCTCAAGACATTGAATGTCCGGCAGAAATACAAGGCCTAATATCTTGCGAAGAAGAAGTCATAAGATTTTTACAGCCAATACTTGCTGTTGAAGGAGTAGAAGAATGGATGGGGTGTGTTGTGGAAGAGATGCTGAAAACAAACAAAATGCTGACTAAAAAGGCAATCCATGATTATGGTACAATCAGAAGACCTAGGTATTATATTTTTCTCAATGAGCAAGATTCCCAAGTTTAATTTTTCTATATAGTTTCTTCTATGTATTTAAAGATCGGAGTGGATTCTGGACTATATTGGCATGGTGGTTTTTGTTGCAAACAAAATTTGGTGGACAACAGAAGTAGAATATGTATTTTCATTACTTAAAAAGGTATATTTTTCAGAAATTTTGACATTTGGTTTCAATTATTATTTATTAGATGACAATTCTTCACAGTAACAACCGGTTATTTTTAAAAGTTCTTTTTTTAACAAATTCCTTAAAAAAATTAAAAATCGTTAACACAATTGATTTTATAGATGAGATGTTTAATAATTTATCAGCATTATGATTTTAGTTTATTACAGGGAGACAATTTGGCATTAAAAAGCATGTTGATGAGGCTCAATTCTCAAATGGAAGAGATCTCTTCTAAAATTCAGGGTAAACTGTCTAAAATCAACAGACAAAAGTTTACTACAATGCTTATTATTGATATTCATGCAAGGGATATAATCAATACTTTAATTGGTAATAAGTAAGTACAAATTTATTGTTATTCTATGTGAATGATGTAACAAAAAATATTCTTATATTCTGTGATGAATTTGAAAATTAAAAACAACAGTATAGAACAGCTGAAGCAAATATAGGAAGAGATATTATTCAAGTCAGAACAACCAAAGGATGTTCTCAAGGAGGGTTCCTGTCACCTCTTCTAAGTAGCTAACATGAACTGCTCAAAATTCTGGACTGTAAAGGGATAAAGTGTCAGGGCTATGTGGATGACATAGTCCTGACCGACAGGGGAAAATTTGAGGAAACTCTCTGTGACAATCCAAGAATGGCTAAAAATCACAGAAGAATGGTGTAAAACTGCTGACTTAGGAATCAACCATAATAAAACAACCATAGTTGTTTTTACACTGAAAAGAACATTGGATCACATGAGGCAAATAACATTCAAAAAACACTTTGATAGAATTAACTAATAATTTGGGAACAATCCAATCACATCTGCTCGGAACATCATTTCTACTATGCTAAGAGAAAATTCACAATAATCCCTCAGAGCATGGCACTGCAACTCATTTGAAAAAAAATAATTGGCTTGTAAGCACCTTAACAGACAGTAAGAAAATTTTCTGCATTACTGGGCTGTCACTGCTGTATAATTTACTTATTGTTACGTTTGTTAATTTTTTCTCCTAAAACACAGGTCTCTGCTGACAATGCCATAATAGGTGTACTCGGAAAGCATCTTGTTTTTTCTCAAGCATTTGTTTTGAAATGTGTACCATTGAAATGTAGAGCTAGCAGCCTGGGCATAAAAAAATGCTCTGAAAACCAACACAGATCTGATAGAGGATTTACAAAATAGCATTCCAATATAAGGGTCTGCTCCCCAATTTACTGTTTGTTATGCACTGTAAAATGTTAAGTAAGTTCTCACATTTATTTAATGTGTTTGTGATGTGTGAATTCCCAGTTAACTTCCTCTCTATGTATTATAAGCTGAAAAATTTGACTTGGGGACCACGAGGAAAATGTGATCTAATTGTAATTGTTGTGTAATCAGTTTGTCTTTTCTGAGTGAATATGAATGACTTGGCCTAGAAAATTTTGAATCCAATGTTGAACATCCATTGAGATAAAATAGATACTGAACTGTTTAACAAGATTTTGCATTCGTATACATTATAGGCCGTGACGTACAGGCATATGTCATCAGCATATTGTATGATTTTGACAAAATCTGGAAGAATATTGACTATGACCGTTAAGTAAATTGCAAATAATAAAAACAAACCTCCCTGTGGGAGTCCTTTGCGAGATGATCTGGGACCACGTATTGCACTATTCATGTAAACATACATTTCTCTGACTGTGATTAAAGTCATTGTATTTTGCACACACAAATTTGGGAGTCCAATGTTTTAGTTTGCACATCCTTTGTGTATCCAAAAATAAACAAAGAGCACACTTATCATCAGCAAGGACTCTGCATCATATCACAGACTAAATCCATATGAGCATTTGCGACAGACCGACTTTTTCAAAAATCTTATTGTCTCAGAGTTAATTTTCTTTTGTGCTCCAACCACCATTAAAGCCTGTTTTTGATCATTCTTTTGTACATTTTTTGAACACAGGACATCAGAGGACGATATGAAGATGTGCTTTCTGTAGATTTGACACTTTTAAGATCAGTACAATCATGGTTTGTTTCCAGGTGTTTGGCATTAATCCATTTGTCCAGAATTAAATAGGTTTTTAGCCTTATTTGCAGCTATTGCAGCTATTGCAGCATATTGTAAAGCATACTATAATGGATTCCATCCATGCTTGGGGCAGTGTTATTAAAACGTTTTATCATTCATGTGTTGTTTGAATGCCTTTATAGTCTAATGGCTGAGTAACAACACATGGGGGCAGTAATTGTTAATGAACTCTTCCAACCATGGACCTTCACATAGTGGAAGGTTTAGAGATGAATTCATATTTTTAATGATTTTCAATTTTTTTTTTATTTGTCCTTATTGGGATGGATTTATTGAGAGATGAACAGAAGTATTTCCAACATTCTTTCTTGCATGATCTCATGGTCATGACCCGAATCAAAATGGAAACTATCAGGATTTAATTTTATATGACAGGGTAAAAGTGGCTCCTACGGAGAAGTAGGAATTTTGATAAAGAACAACATACAACACACCAAAATTAATGTTACCATTGTATAAAATTATCTTATGGTTACAGGAACCAAAATAACTTTAGATGGAGATACTCCTCCATTAACAAAAATTCAAAGTGATTGAAAATGTTTTTCTGAAACTTACATCACACCAGACTGCATCTCACAATTTCCGAATAATCATTTCAATTAATTATTGATTTTATGTAAGGTATTGGTTGAGATGAAAAAGTTAGTGTCATAAGTGGAATTCGAACTCACAACCTTTGGCTCAATATGGCACTGTTCTAACCACTTGAGCTAACGTCACTTAACGATTTTGTGAGCGGTTAAAGCAGTGGCGTATTGAGCTGAAGGTCATAGGTTCAAATCCCTCTCGTGACATTAACTTGTTCATCTCAACCAAGAGCTTACATAAAATCAATAATTAATTGAAATGATTATTCGGAAATTGTGAGATGCGGTCTGGTGTGATGTAAGTTTCAGAAAAACATTTTCTTTATCGTGCCAATGTTTTGATCTTTATTGAGATCATCTTCAGGGCCTGGGATTTACAAACAATGTTTAAATTTAACAAATACATGTAGGATGTGGAAAAAAGTGAATTTATACAATGCAAAAAGTATTTTTTATATTCAATCAAAATATTTCTACTCACTCAAACTGTTTGCTTTCTGGTACATTACAAGCGTACAAACACCCAGAAAACAAACTCTTTGAGTGAGTAGAAATACTTTGATTGAATATAAAAAATACTTTTTTGCATTGTATAAATTCACTTTTTTCCACATCCTACATATATTTGTTATTGAATTTATACAATGCAAAAAAGTATTTTTTATATTCAATCAAAATATTTCTACTCACTCAAAGTGTTTGCTTTCTGGTACATTACAAGCGTACAAACACCCAGAAAACAAACTCTTTGAGTGAGTAGAAATACTTTGATTGAATATAAAAAATACTTTTTTGCATTGTATAAATTCACTTTTTTCCACATCCTACATATATTTGTTAAATTTAAACATTGTTTGTAAATCCCAGGCCCTGAAGATGATCTGAATAAAGATTGAAACATTGGCACGATAAAGAAAATGTTTTTCTGACTTACATCACACCAGACCGCATCTCATGATTTCCCAATAATCATCGACTAACGGTCACCAATCACCACACATTAATTGAAATAATTAATATGGCCAATTATGACCACTAAACATATATGGATTAATTCTGACTTATTTTTATGTCAGCAAGTATATGATATTTGTATTAATATTTTATAAATAATCACTACTGTAATTGAGATATTGCTGGTATTTCCTATAATGTTTTTTTTTCTTTCCCTAGTGTGACTGACCGAGAGGAATTTGAATGGGAAAGCCAATTGAGATACTACTGGATAAAATCTATTGATACCGTTTGTGTCAAACAATGCTCAGGTATAGTTGATATCCCAATAAAACTTAATAAAAACAAGAGAACATTTGATTGTTAAATTTTAAATATTTCAATTCATAAAAGACATGGATTGTTAAAAAATAGTTGAAGACTTTTTATTTCAGGGGAATTCCGTTTTGGATATGAATATATGGGTTTACATGGAAGGCTTGTAATAACTCCCTTAACAGACAGAATTTATCTCACAATGACGCAAGCATTATCAATGCACTTAGGTGCAGCCCCTACAGGTTTATATATTTCAACAGCAAATGCTTATATTATTATATAATTTTATTATATTATTTTTCAAGGACCTACGGGAACTGGTAAAACTGAAACAATAAAAGATCTTGCGAAAGCGCTGGGCCTTCTTTGCATTGTTACAAATTGTGGCAAAGGAATAGATCATGTCTATTTTGGTAAACTGTTAAATGGGCTAAGCCAGTGTGGTGCATGGGGTTGTTTTGATGAGTTTAACAGAATAGAAATTACTGTTTTATCTGTCATTTCTACTCAACTCCACACAATAAGTAATGCTTTGAAAAAGAAGTGTGACCGATTTATGGTAAGATATGGTGGTTGTTGACCTATGAGCTGTTTAATAAGTTTATGTTGATTTTAGTTTGACAAACATGAAATACCCCTAAGTGTTAATTTTGGAGTATTTATGACAATGAATCCTGGCTATTCAGGAAGAACGGAATTACCAGAATCTATTAAATCTATGTTTCGCCCTGTAGCGTGCATAGTACCTGATGTAGAACAAATCTGCTACATCATACTATTTTCCGAAGGGTTTTTCGAAGCTAAGGTAATTCACGAATCAGTTAAAAATAAACAATAAATACCTATTAAATGTAATTGCTTTCATATTACATTCAAGGAGCTTGCAAAGAAAATCACCGCCCTGTTAAATTTGTCAAAGAAGCTACTGTCAAAGCAGAATCACTATAACTTTGGGATTAGAGAAATAAAATCAGTGCTTACAATGGCAGGAGAATTAAGACGTAGTGCTCGAGACATGCCTGAAAGCCTTGTTTTGTTGGCTTGCCTTAGGTAATTTTTTACAATATTTTCTAGCAGAGTTTAAAAAAATAGTATTGTTTTTTTCCCATTTACTTACCAGCCGTAACTAAGGGGGACAATTACCATTAACTCAACCTATTGGGACTTTTTCAGGACTTCAATTTTTTTATGAAATTTCAAATTCTTTCAAATTAAAACTGTTTTTTAATGATAATTATGTTAGCATAACTGTTTAACAAGCACATAAAATTTTATTCAAATTGACTAAATGGTTTTGAAGAAAAGTGCACAAATGTGGGTTTTTCCTATATGGATAAGATTGGCCTTGTGTTTCCTTAAATTCTACCTATCCCTTGGTTACTCCTTTCTCATAAAATAATTACCACTTCAAAATGTGTATAATTTGATTAAATATGAGAGATTATAATAGTTTATCATTTAGGAAACAATTTATCAAACTCATCATTAAAGTTAAAAATTTTTCAGGAATTTAATACTTCCCAAGCTCATTTTAAAAGATATTGATCTATATCAGGAAATCTTGATTGATATATTTCCTGGTTTAGAATGTCCGAACATAAAATATCCAGAATTTGCAGAAGTTGTTGAAAAATCTTTGGAAAAACTTGGATATTTAATTCTTCCAAGTCAGGTAACAGCATTTATAATCGGCAAGAGTGACACTTTTTTATGTTTGCATTAAAAAGTCACTTACTATGTTTTACAATAAATAAATTAAAAGGGAAAATGAAAGACTGAGGATGAAGGTTTTTCGTGACAGAGGGTTTTTTTTGTCAAAAAAGTTCTCTGCTTGTTCAAAAAATTTTTTTAACCTTTCATTTGATATGTCAGGACGTTTCAGCATTTTGCCATCTTCATCAGTCAATTTTATTGCATATAATTAATTATATTAATATTGCATGCTTAATTATACATCAAGTCTATCATTGTTTTGTTTTATTACCATGGCCAACTTTTTCTCTTTGATTTAGATTAAAATAATTATTCAACTTTATGAAACACTCTTTACTCGTCATTCAGCTATGATAGTTGGACCTACAGGCGGAGGGAAATCAGTTGTTATTAAAACTTTATCTGTAGCTCAATCTCTACTTGGCTACAATGCACAATTATATATTCTGAATCCGAAGGTGATTCCCTTATATTTAATTAATTGCAGTATTAATTTTTAATTATTTAATTTATTATTGCTACAAACTTTTTTGGCATAAGAAAGTGTTCGTTCATAAAAACTAACAAATGAAATTTCATACATTTTCTAGGCGTGTACTATAAACGAACTGTTTGGAGTTTTAAATCTGCAATCAAGAGAATGGACAGATGGGTTGTTTTCTAAAATTTTTAGAGATGTGAATAAATCAAAGCATAAAAATTCAAAGAGTTACATCATCTTCGATGGCGATGTTGATGGAATATGGATAGAAAGTATAAATTCAGTTATCGATGATAACAAAATACTCACACTGGCAAACAGTGAAAGAATCCAACTTACTCCACAATGTGCTGTGTTGTTTGAGGTGATATTAAACTCGTAACATTTGAAGTTGAATTTCATGACTCTTTTTTGTATTTTTCATCCCATGAAAAAATTATGTATTTTCTAATAACTCCAGGTGGGTGACTTTCAACATGTGTCACCATCAACTCTATCACGTGCTGGTGTAGTTTATGTTGATCCCAAAATGCTCGGTTATGAACCATTTTGGCAGAGATGGCTTAATACACGTTTAGACGATAAAGAAATTGAAATGCTACAGGAATATTTCAAAAAGTATGTTCCTAAATGTTTGACTTTCATATTTATGGGTTATAAAGATGCAACTCAACAAAGTCCTCCGCTCAGATTGATTATACCTCAAAATGAATTAAATATGGTGAGGAAGTATATTTTAACGTTATTTTGAAAACATTAAAAACAAGACTTTTTAAATTGATTTACATTGTTTTTTTTTAGGTTACTCAGTTGTGCTATATGCTAGAAGCATTCTTACCAATGGCAGATGCAGACAAAAGAGACAGTAAAGTTGAAAGGTACACCCCTGCTCAGTTGAAGAAATTGGAAAAATCTTTGAAACCTCACAAATCTGAAAAAGACGAGTATTACAAAATTCTAGAAAGTGTATTTTTAGAATCGTTATATTATTCTTTTGGCTCATGCATATTAAAGGATGATACAATTTTATTTGATGCTTATATTAAAAAAATTAGTGCCATGAAGATTGTAGAAGATTCAGATAATCGAAGAGCTGAAATAAGTATGCGCACTCTGTTATTATCTGCTAATCTTTTTGATTTTTTTTTTTTTTTTTTACAATGTTCTAGACAGCATCCCTACAAACAAGCCAACATTGTACAATTATAAATTAGACAGAAAAAGCAATTCTTGGATTTCATGGGAAAGTCTTGTACCTCAATATATACATGATAAAGAAAAACAGTTTAATGAGATTTTAGTTCCAACTGAAGATTCGGTTAAAGTTATATGGCTGTTAAACTTGTTAACAAAGGTAAATGTACATAAATCTGTGGCATATTGGGGCAATAGCCCCATTTTGTAGTAACAATCATGGAACAATATGAATGTGGGAAAATGTATTGTGAAAAGCAAGTCGATAGCAAGCAAACTGCAACATTATTAGCCGTTAACGATGGTTTTGTTTTCTCATGCCATAATGGATCATTTTGGAGTCTCATCCTGGCTCACCATAGGGATAGATCACTGGGTAGAACATGGGATCACAATGAGGGCTTAAATCATAAATTAACTTTGAACTGCTTACACTATGTAAACTGTCCACAAAATGTAGGTTCAAGTTAAAAATTTAGGTGTGTGTAGAGATTAGTGACCGTTAATCTATAGTTATTCAGATATCGTGAGATGCGGTCGGGAGTGATGTAGGTTTCAGAAAAACATTTTCTTTATCGTGCCAACGTTTCGATCTTTTATTGAGATCAACACGACACACAAGGATGGCACAATTACACAGAAGACAAACACTTTGAGCCCTGAAGATGATCTCAATAAAAGATCGAAACGTTGGCACGATAAAGAAAATGTTTTTCTGAAACCTACATCACTCCCGACCGCATCTCACGATATCTGAATAACCATTAAAAATTTAGTCTTGCGTTATTTCAGCTGCAGTCCTGTATGCTTCAGTATAAAGATTTTTAGCCAGATTTCCACCAAAGGCTTTCAAAACTGGGCGTAACTCCATATATTATTCATAAAATTAGGAGAATTAAGGAATAGTTCCTTTAACTCCAAACTGATTTGTAGTTCGGGGAGTAAATTATATACAACACCTTCAATAATAGTAGTGAAAAATTCTGTTGAAAAATTGTGTTCTTCTCATTATTTTCCCATGGGTTCTGAGTATTTGGTTCCCGGTCCAAATACTCCTGGCCTTGTACCTTCTTCTCTTCTAGATCCATCTGTGTACCAGAGGATGGTGCCATTTTTAAAGGAGTTATTTCCCTTTCCTTCCCATTCCTTCTTGATGCCCAGATGTATTCGGAATTTTTGGTTAAATTCAAACATCCTGTTCATGTCGTCTCTTGGAGCCATGAGTGATAAATGGTCTTTCCACAGTTTGTTTCTGTCTCTCCATTTCAGTTTTATTCCTGTTGGAGGTTTCTCTCTGATAAAGTTGATTATGGTTTTCTGTGCTGTCCTTTCTACCATGTGATGTAGGGGGATTACTCCCAATATCTTTTCCGTGCTAATTGTAGGACATGTTCTCATTGCTCCCGTTATGCAGTTGCATGCAAGTCTCCGTATTTTTGTGAGTTCTTTCCTTTTGGTTATTTGTTCTGCTTTATCGGCCCAGGCTATAGCTCCGTATGTAAGTAAAGGTCTTACTATTATGGTGTGCATCCATAACAGGGTTTCTGGCCTGCATCCCCAGTTTCTTCCTGCTATTCTTCTGCACACCATCAAAGCTCGTGTCGCCTTTGTGATGATGGAGCTGATGTGTTTCTTAAATGTTAGTGTTTTATCTAGTGTGATGCCCAGATATTTGACTTCATTTTTGATTTCTATCACAGTGTTGTTGAGTGTGAGTTCTTTCATGTTATCTAGTTTCCTTTTCCGTGTAAGAGACATACGCAATAGCTGATGGATGACTTACAAAATTCGAATTCCAGTGCCGACCCCCACCTCTCCAGCAACCATTATTTTTTAATTACTTATATGATTAATAATTTATACTTTTGATCAATTTTTTAAATCTGTCATTGGGGCAATAGAAAGTATACAGGTTTTCACATTTCAAAACAAAATTTATTAACTGCTAAAAATCCACAAAGGGGGTAATAAGGCAAAGCCAGACACTCCCCCACCTAAGCTCGCTCACTCTATAAAAATCTAGCCCTTTTGTCTCCATTTTTGCAACCAAGATGTCGCATTTAAAATCAAACTTCTATCTCAGCAGACTCTTAACTGTAACTGAGTCGAGACCAACTGACCAGTGTCAACTTAACTCTACTCAACTACTCTCTGTACATGTATAAGGTACAATTAATTATTAAAGAGTTACTTACCTAATTAGTTATACAAAAAAATGTCTTCGTCTTCTCTGTTACCTATATATATTTTTTCAATATGGTTTTTAAATTTTCAAATTTTTAAGGCTCTGTAAACATCATGTAAAGAAAAAAATATGACCTCTGTAAATAAAAAATAATCTGTTTAAACCAATCAGATTTTTTTTTAAAGATAAAATATTTTGGCTTACTACATTTTATTAGGTTTCATGGTCCACTTGACCAAATAAATTCTTTTCAATTAATTAAGGTTTTGGTTGAGATAAAAAAAAGTCAGTGTCACAAGCGGGATTCCAGCCCACAACCTTCGGCTAAATACACCGCTGCTCTACCACTTGAGCTATCGTGACTTCAACACTAACTTCCCATCTCAACCCAACCTTTTGAATTTTCCCTCATTTTTGCCATTTTTCAAAAGTCATGTAATATATTTGATTCTCGGCGACAAATGAAATGGCCACGGAGAGCTTTAGTGATGTATACTTCATTTTGCTTATTACGTTTTATTAGGTTTCGTGGTCCGCTTGCTTACTTTATTGGAAGCCTCTTTTGGATCAAATATCACTTAATATGATCCTTCATATTATTTTCTTATCCTACATAAAAAGCAAATAGGCAATTAGATTTGTATAAAATGCCTTTGAAATAAGTTCACACAACAAAGAGGGGAAACCATATTTAAAAATATATATATTTAAAGTAAATTTGTTTTTGGCTTATAGGGGCTGTCTTCTTTAATATTGTTGGACTTATTATCTCCTGAAAAAAAAAAAAAAAAATTCAATCAGTGATCCCACATTTGTAGCCTTGGTAGTATTACAAATAATTAGTAAAGTAGTATTAAAAATAAAAATAATTAGTAAGGGAGGTAGTATTAAAAGAAACTAAAAAAGGAAAACAAATACTTTAAAGCTGTATGATCATGTAATACAGTAAATCCATTGCAGACTTTATTTGCATTTTATAAATGTATGTTATATTCTATGAGAGATTTTTAATGCTTCTTTTAATCATTATTTTAAAGCAAAATTGTGAGGATGTACATTACATATGTGTAAGTCAAATGAACATACTTTTTTTTATCACTTTGAAAGCAAATTTCATAATAAAATATCAATTTTCATGTGGCATTTCAATCAGCATCAATATAGACTTCACTGCAAACCAAAAGTAAGTAAAAATTGTGTAGTATGCTGGAACACTTTAATTTCAACTCACTACACCATGCCTGCTTTAAAACTAATTCAACTTTTTTTCCGTTTTCTAAAAGCTTAGAAATTTTAAAAAATAAATACCATTCTAACATACTTTTGTATAGATGAAAAGGCCCCTCTTGCTCATTGGAGAATGTGGGACTTCAAAAACTGCAACCATGATGGAATATTTACGCAAACTTAATGCTGGAGAATTTGTGAGGATAATGATATTTTTGTTTCTTCTATTGTAACTTATTAAAAAAAGTATCTACACATACTGCACTTTTACAACAGGCCCAATTACTGATGTCATTTTCGCACAAAACAACTTCTTTGGATGTACAAAGAATCATAGAATCATCGATTAATAAACAATCCAAAGACATGTATAAACCACTAAATGGAAAGAAATTAATTATATTCATAGATGATATGAATATGCCTCAGGTAATTCAAAACTTTTACTTATTTTATAGAAATGGTGCTAGTATGTTTTCTTAAATTGTTGTCAGGTTGATACTTATGGAACACAACAGCCAACAGCACTTTTGAAACTTTTAATTGAACAGAAAGGTCTCTATTCGAGGAAGAAAGATTTGAAATGGAAAAATATCGAAGATATATGTAAGTTATAGCAAGTACTGCATATAATAAATTATTACGGTACGATAAAATAAAAAATTAATGGGGAGGGTAATCAGTTCATATCAGTTTTTCCTTTGGGTGGTTGCTAGTGGTGGTAATCTCCCTTCTTTCACTGCGACCCTTCTTTATATTAATACCACAAAAAATTTTTTAAAAAAATAATAACCCTTTAAAATGTTCAGCCCTTTTGGCGTCAATATCGCCATTCTGGAGAGACTGTACCAATACTTCTGCCCCAATGCTTTTTAGTTTTCCAGGGGGCAGGGCCTCAGGTAAAGCACAAGGTGAGGCTCTCTTAACAGAATGGGTGACAGGGCTTTCCATAGAGTGTTTGCATGGAAAATTGCTACTTGGTCAGAGGAGGTAGGGCCTCAGATGAAGCACGAGGAATGGGACTGCTGAAGGAAGTAGAGCAGTTCTTCCACACGGAGTGAGTATGGAAGATCATCACTTGGCCAGACTGGGTAGGGCCTCAGGCAAAGCTTGATGAGAGGAACTCCTAATGGAATGGGAAGCCTGGCCTTCTGGACAGAGCGAGGATGAGAGATTGTCACTTGCTTAGAGGAGGTAGGGTATCAGGCGACGCTCAAAGAAGGTTACTCCTGAAGGAAGGGGAGGAGGTTCTTCCACACCGAGTGAGAATTGAAGATCATCACTTGACTAGACTGGGTATGGTCTCAAGCAAAGCTCAAGGAAAGGAATTCTTAAATGTATGGGTGACAGGTGTTTCCACATGGAACGTGGGTAAAAGATCAAAACATGGCCAAACGGAATAGTCCCTCAGGGGAAGAAACGATGAGAGAAACAACCAATTCTTGACCAGGAAACTAGATTATATTCTAAGATCCTTTTAAGGGGAGCACATCACTTTGAATGGTTAAAAAATCATTTTTGTTTTTCATCTTATAAACATACAACTCTTTCTGAACATTTTAACACTAGAAGTATTTTTATTTTATTTTTAAATGCCTCTAATCCAATGTAAATTAATTCACTAAAAAATGCACTAAAAGAATCAAAACTATTCATTATTACTAATTTACTACTAACTATTTACTACTAATAAAATGAAAATATCAAGATCTTTAAAAAAAATTAAGGAAAAATCAGTCATTTAATTTTGCTTTTAGATCATGTACATTGTAAGACAAAATACTTATTAAACTAGATTGAGAACATTTTGAATTTTGAAACAGGACTCTCTGAACTCTGAACTCTCTCTCACATGTAGCTACTACATTTGCAATATACTATATTCAAAAATACAAATATACCAGTATTTAAACACATTTGATTACAAAAAAGCTTCTTGTAACAAATGTAATTTGTATGAAAGAATAATTCAAATACAATATTTAATTAGAGACTGTCCTAATCAGTTCAATTTGTCTCTTCTATGATTGTTATTACGTGCTAATGAGCTTTATTTTTTTTACAGCTATTTTTGCGGCTATGGGAAAAACTGGTGGTGGACGAAATGTTGTTGATCCAAGATTTATTTCACTGTTTTCAGTGTTCAACATGACATATCCTTCTGATAATACAGTGACTCATATATTTCTATCTATGCTGCAGGGTCACATTAGGAATTTCTCTGATGATGTTAAGAACACTGCTACCAAAATAATGCAGCTAACAATGCATTTATTTAAAGTAAATTTTTTTGAAAGTTTTAATAAATTCATTCTTCATCTTATTAATGTATTGGGTACTTTTGATTAACTGCTTTTGTATTTTACTGTAGGCTGTTTCTGCATCTTTACGACCCACACCTAGTAAATTCCATTACACTTTTAACCTTAGAGATTTGTCTAATATCATCTCAGGTTTACTACTTGCTGAAAATCACGTTTTCAACACTGGAGCTCAATTTGTCCGACTATGGCGCAATGAATTTACAAGAGTGATGTTTGATCGCCTAGCCAGTTTAGAGGTGAATTTTAGTTTTAGTCAGTAGACAGTTGATATTTCACTTAATAAAATTTCAATTTTATGTAATTATTTTGATTTTATGATTGTTATTATTATACAATGCTTAATATTATTATTTGACAGGATTGTGACAAGATGTTTGAAGTCATGGTTGAGAATGTCAAACACAAGTTCCCTGATATTTCAGAGTATGTCTTAAGAGAGCCGATGCTCTTTGGTGATTATAGAAATGCAATGCTTAGAAATCAGTCTAGATTTTATGAAGATTTACTAGATTACAATGCAGTTTTTCACCTCTTCACCGAGGTAAATGAAAAATCACAATTCTCAATCACTTCAATTTTAAAGTGTCAAATTTCAGATATCAATGGAATATAATATGCATTTCACTACCATAAATCTGGTGCTATTTGAACATGCATTGGATCATTTGACAAGAGTGCATAGGATCCTGCGTATAAGCAGAGGACATTGTATAGTAGTAGGTGTGAGTGGGTGTGGCAAGGATTCTATAATTCGATTAGCAACATTTGCAGCTGGTAAGATAAATTAGTACTATCATTTTTTCTCTATAAATCACACAATAGTATCAAGCAATAACAATTTCTCTCTGTGGTCTGTGATGATGATCCTATAATTTGGTCATTACCAATCATTCCGGTTTGCCTGTCCTCACTGTGTTGGACTACTAGACGTATTTCAGTGCTTCCCCATCATCATTGTCAGGTCTGTGTGATTCTGTTAAGTCATGTCTCTGTTATAAGGCCAAGAGATTCACAAAATCAAACGCTGAAAATGGCGAAATGACAATACATGTCTGATAGACCATCTCAGTGAGAATAAGCATTTCAGGGTGATTGTTTATCAAATTTCAGATTAAAAATTAAATTAAACAGACGTATTTTTATGTAAGTTTGTAATTTACACTTTTTTATTGATCATTTTCAGGTTGTCACTTATTTACTGTTATAGCTACTAAAGGTTACGACGAAAATAATTTTAAAGAAGACATGAAAACAATGCTCAAGTTGATAGGAATTGAAGGAAAACAAACAACTTTTCTGTTAACAGCGTCACAAATAGTTAATGAAGGTACATACACAGTGTGTAGTACATACACATGACAGTGTAGCATGTTCACATTTTACTGTATTCATTCATCAATGTCATAGGATTTCTGGACTTCACAAACAGTTTGCTTACAATCGGAGTTATAAATTCACTGTTTTCTGCTAACGAAAAAGCTGATATTAAGGAAAAGATTAAAACTGATGATGGAAATGGGCCAAAGTAAGTAATTCTCAGGTTGAACCACTGGATTTGTCTAGATCTGGTGAACAAAGCCAAACAAGTATAGAGAGACCATCAATTGCAATACATATTGCAAAATAAATAAATAAAAAATAATAGAAATGATATATGTGTGTAGGCTTGATTGGTGGTCAACTTTCACAAAAAGTTGCCAGGACCATTTGCATGTAGTTCTTTCAATGAATCCAATTGGTGATGCTTTCCGTAAACATTGTCGAAACTTTCCTGGGCTCATTAATAATACATACTTAGACTGGATTTTCCCTTGGCCGAACCAGGCTTTGGTCTCAGTGGCAACCAAATATTTTAAAGATGTAAGGCTTTCGAGTTGCAATTTTCATATAAATACAATTAAAGTAGTTATTATTTATTTTAAATTACAAATCGTTAACAGGTGACTTATATTCCGTCTGAACTGAAAGAACCAATTATCGAGTGTACTATACAGGTCCATTCATCGATGGTAGACTATACGGAAAATTTGTGGTTGAGATTAAGAAGGAACAATTATTTGACCCCGAAACATTATTTGGAATTTGTTAAAGATTATTTGAAGCTGATGGATCAGAAAAATGAAGAACTAGATTTAAGGGTATAAAAAATCACGTTTTGATATTGTAACTTTAATTTTTTTTTTTTTAAATCTTTATTTTAGAGTGAAAGTTTGAATGGAGGTCTGAGAAAAATTAAAGATGCTAGAGACCGTTTAGATGAACTAAAGTATAATTTTTCACAGCAGCAAATAATAACCGTTGGAAAATCAAAAATCACAGATGCTTTAACAAATGAGGTAGACGAAGGTATATAACACTTACTTATTTACAAACAAATAATTGTCTTATGAAAGAAATATAAGAACCTGTATGTATATATATATATATATATATATGGTATTGTGGCACAGGCCTTTGATTGAGTCTGGCATCAAATGGTTCTCTCTAAATTGAAGGCTCTCCTTCTTTCAACCTGTTCCTAAGATCTTTACTCCTTCTTCCTTATTGTTGCTAGAGCATTGCAAGGAAACATCCCCAGTCCTCTCCTATATATAATATGCACTCTAAATCCTAAAACATTCCTTACTAATTCACATACACAATTATTCTTTCCTTGCCTCATATAGGTAGACAAAGTAAAATATCTAGGCATGTTTCTTGATAAAATACTGGCACGGAACCCCCACTCTAGACAGAAAAGACAGAACTTAACAAACGATCAAAACTTTCACTAAGGAATAAAGTGTTAATTTATAAGGCAATATTATGACCTACTTTATATCTTCCAAAAAGATTTTTTTAATGACCTTATGATAACATATTAGCCAGAGAGCAGAGCATTGTAGTACATATTTATTGGCGAAAGGGGAGAGTGTAAACATTCCAGAGTTGACAGTGGGAAATGAACCCATGAGCACAGGGTCTAAGAATCTGACATCTAATCTTGATGGCTACTCAGCTGCCACAGTCTCCCAATCCTAAAACATGACTCAATAGAATGACAAAAAGAATTGTATTTGTTATAATTGATTAATAATTTCATCTATCTTTTAGCAACAAAAATGCTCAATGAGAAAAAATTGCTTGTTACAAGAAAACAAAATGAAATACTTAACAATAAGAAACTTATTGAAAAGTTTAATCGAGAGGTTGACTTGTCTTTAACGCAAGCTATACCAACATTAGAAAATGCCAAACTTACTTTAGAAGGAATACAAGAGGAAGACATTGAAGAAATAAGGCATGTTTTTTAACTAATGTTTTTAAGGGTAACATTTTAATTGTCATTAATATATTTAGATTGCTAACAACACCGCCAGAACCTGTTCAAATTGTCTGTGAATGCATTGCAATTTTATGCGGATCGAAAGAAATTAATTGGCGATCGGCAAAAGCTCTAATGTCTGAACCTGAGTTTTTACAAAATGTTAAAGATTTAAATTGTGATTCCATACCTCAAAAGACTATCCATCAAGTTCGAATGCACTTAAAAGTAAGGTTTAGTGTTTTCAATTGAAACATTTGTTTAATAAAAAAATCAATACTTAATTTTATTGGTTATTTTAGATATCAAAAAAATTGAATGAACTGTACAAAATTAGTTCAGCAGGATTTAGCTTCCACAGGTTCATAGAAGGTGTTATTGCTTACTGTGCAGTTTTGAAAGAGATAAAACCAAAAAAGGAAAAAGTCCTGGAGTTGGATGAAAGTTGTAAACAAGTAAAACATTAAACTTTGTTTAAACTGCAACGAACAATGTTCAAAGCATTTATATGTAATAAATATATTCTTGTAGATTGAAGCCTACATTTATAATCTTCAAACGGAAATTGGCTCATTAGAAGTTTCACTTGGTGAACTTAATGAAAAACACTGTGATAAATTAAGCGAGCAAACAAAATATATTGAAGAAACTGATGAAATGGAACGGAGGTTAGAAGCTGCTGATCAACTCTTCCAAGGACTTATGAAGGAAAATGAAAGGTTGATGAATACTTTATAGTTATTATTATATAATTTAAATACATTGATTTCCCTTAAACTTTATTACAGTTTTGCTAGAATGTCATGAATGTGGTAATGGGAGAAATATAATTTTCCTCATACAATTGTTTACAAATTCCTAATAAATTTATGGTATGGTATGGTAAAAACAGATACTAGGAAGCGGGGTTTGCGCTCCCCAGGCACTGCAGCCTTCTGACTTATTGTAACTTCCCAGTTCCTTAGTTCAGTGCAATAGACTCAATCCTTCTTCTTAGAAGTATCAGGTCATTGACTGTGGCTGCTGCAATTTGATTCCCCAAGTTTTTTCCGTACGTTAGGTTAAATCTCCATTGAGCTGTAGCTTAGCATTCGAAGATGATATGAGTGGCTGTTTCCTCCTCCTCATTACATAATCTGCAAATGGGATCATTGTTGTATATACCCATGTTGTGTAGATGTTTTCTCAGATGCCAGTGACCAGTTAGTAGTCCTACCACTACTCTGAGTTTGGCCTCTCCAATTGCAGCAATGCTTTTGCCAGTCTTGGTGAGGGTTGTTTCATCATAAGTTTACTATGGCTAGCACCGCTAGAGTTTATCCACTTCTCCTTTTGTTTTGTTTGGATCCATTCTGCGAAGGAGGATTCTATATTTGTTTTTGTTATCCCAAGAATAGGTTCGTGCCTATGTACGGTCTTGCAGATCCTCCTCTGGCCAGACTGTCTGCTTTCTCGTGCCAAAATTCCCCCGAGCCCTGGCAGCCAAGATATCACCAGGTTTTGGAGATTTTGGATGCATTCACTGACTTGAATTGAATGCATTCACTGACTTGAATTGAATGCATTCACTGACAATTTGATTTGATTCTTTTACATGCTAATGCTTTAATGGCTGCTTGGCTATTAGATCTTATGAGGATTTTTTTGTCAGTGTAACCTCTTTTAAGATTTTCCAGGGCACAAGCATTGATGGCATGTATTTCTGCTTGAAAGACCAAGTGTACTTCCCTAATGAGTTTGATTGCTCATGTTTTGGGCCCGTACAGAAAATGCCTGATCCGGTTCCTTCGTTTGTTTTGGAGCCACCTGTGTGCCATATCATTGTATCTGATGCTCTCCTGTGTTCTTCCTAACCTTTATAGTTCATTGAGACTTTGAAGGAAGTTGTGAAGATTGTTTCTGGGACCTAATACATTTAAAGTCATGTGTTAATTTCTTTTTTTCAGATGGGTTGGGTCTTTGGATGAGATAAAACAAGAGAAGAATGAAGTTCTTGGAAATTGCCTCCTGTGTGCCGCTTTTTTCAGCTATGCCGGTCCCTTCCCATGGGAATTTAGACAAGAGATGCTTTATGAAAAGTGGTTCATGTTGGTAACTGATGCCAACATTCCAGTATCAATGGCTTTATGCATTGAACGATATTTAATTGATGATACCACACTAAGGGTGTAAGTATTCAACAATTTTTTAATGTTATTTAAGAATTTTTTTTAAAATATTTTTTTCTAAATATTGACACACATCCCTGGTTGCCCTTCATCCAAAGTGCAGGATTTTCAGGTAGTGTTTTTGAGTTAGACAAGAGAGTTTGGATGTGTAGTGTGATTTCTTCTAACAAGTTTTCACAATGTAGGTTTGTGTGGATATATGCAACATAAGGGACCATTAAGGATTTTTCTTAGGATTATGGATTCGAGAGACGATATGGGATGACTGAGCACAATAGATAGAACAAACATTTCTTAGATTATGTAAACCTTAAAGTATACACATAGTATGTTTTTAGATGGGAGGCAGAAGGGTTGGGTCTGGATGAACATTCTTTGCAAAATGGTATATTAACAACATTTCCTTCCCGTTTTCCAGTTTGCATTGATCCACAACAGCAGGTATGTTGATTCTTTCATTGTGTGAAAATAACAGTTGCAATTTAAAAAAAATAAAACTTTCCCAGGCTCTTAATTGGATTAAAAGGAAAGAGATAAAACGAAATCTAAAAATTTTATCATTTAATGACGCAGAATTTCTAAAACTTTTTCAATCAGCAGTTATGTACGGTTTTCCAGTTCTACTGCCTGATGTGGACTATGTTGACCCTATTATAGGAAATGTTTTGGAACAAAAGTTAAAAGGTAGGAAAGTTTCACTTACTAAAAAATTATATTTTTGTTTGTTGTTCATTCCAAAAGATTTTTTAAAAATTATTTTGCATTTTTAGTTACTTCTGGTGAAACATTTGTTGAGCTTGGTGGAAAATTGATCCCATACGACCCTAAATTCAAACTGTACATCACTACAAAAGTTCCAAACCCTGCTTTGAATGAAGCCCTATACTCAAAAGGAACAATTGTTTATTATTCGGTCATGAAATTTGTAAGTACAAAAATAGTAGAACATTTGTTGTGAGTAGCCATAAGTCACAATCACTATAACAATTATATTTATTATCCTGTAAAACTCTGGTGAAAGTTTAATTAAATTCCAAAAGCTTGGTAAATATAGTGCATGATTCAAACCGCAACCCTGATTCTTAAATTCATCCTAAATAAATGCAAAACAACATTGCTATGCTGTAAATATGATATTTGCAGAGTCTCGAAGAACAATTATTGAGTTTAATATCTAAAAATGAACATCCTGAAATAGAAGAAACAAGAGATTCTTTGACACAAGACATAATGTCAAAAAAGATTTTATTGAATGATTTGGAAAATTCAATTATAATTGGTATGGCCACATCAGAAGGAAATATTTTGGATAGTGAAGACCTTGTCGAAAAATTAGAGGGCAGCAAAAAGCAGGTTATGGAGGTAAGTAATGAGTCTCAGTAATGACATAAACTTTATTTTATTGTGCAATCAAGCACATAAGCATTATTGATATCTATTCACTGTAATGTGAGATTTCTTTGTGTACAGTGATGAACCTGTAGTTTGGTTATTACTGAATGATTTAGTCTGCTTGTTGGCTGGTCTATCAGGCAACTGAAGACGTTGAAATGCCAAAACATGTCTGATAGGCTAACCCAACAAAGACATCCAATTTGTATCATGTTTACAAAATTGTCTTACTTTTATTACTTTATAATTTTATATCATATTTGTTGTAGTGTTAAATAAATATAAAATTGTAGGTTCATTCAGAGCTCCAATTAGCTATGAATAACAAGGCGGAATTGGAAAAACAAAGAAATATTTACAATCCAGTTGCACAGTGTGGAGTGAGACTGTTTTTCCTTCTTTTTGAAATGGCCACAATACATACTATGTACCAATTTTCTTTAAACTGCTATCTTGCTTTGTATGTGAATTCAATTAAAGAAACAGCAACAAGCGATGATGTTCAACAAAGAATAAATAACATTATTGCAGTGTTAATCAAAACAGTTTATGATTATGGATGCATTGGTATGTTGTCAAGAAATGGTTTTTTTTTTGTTTAAAATAAGTACAGTAATCTCTTAATATTCACGGGTTTGTCATTTGCGGTTTTCATTATTCATGGAAAAAAATGGGCAAATATTTAACATTTGAAAAAGGCCTATCTTGGTTATTTGCAGGGCTAAATGAAAATAATTCTCAGAAAGAAAAGATGGAAGCAAACCCTAATTAAATAACCATTATTGATTCACGGTCACTGAATACTACCCATTGATTCAGTTTATATTATCTCCATTTAATCAAAATAGAGCCCCCTACTGTACAATACCTTTTACATATTATTACGCTGGTTTGTTTCAGGTCCATGGCATCTGGGTTTTTAAAAATGACATGAATCATCTCCTTTTCTTTCTTCTTTTTTCTCTTTCTGCTTTTCTTTCTTAGCGTTGTTTCATCATTCAATTATAAATAATTAATATTTTAAAGAATATATTATTGTCTTTATTGTTTTGTATATTTTATTATATGGTTTATTATTATTAATTCTGATTCCACTCAGCCACCATGTCCTAACTTACATATACGCGTGTGCACACATACACAGAGACAGACATGAGGTTCCCGCATACTTGGTCATCCTAAAAAGGACTCTGAGGATCTTTAACGTCCGCACCTAGCCTATTCGGCCTTGTCAGACGTTTTGATTCTCAAGATGAGAGCTGACACACCTCCGCATACGGCAGGATTGTGTTACTGCCGCAGCATTGGTGTAGAGGCAGCTCAGCCCTTACACCAATGTTGCGGCAGTATCACAATCCTGTCGTATGCGGAGGTGCATTAGCTCTCATCTTGAGGCACAGAGACAGACACACACACAGATGTAAAATATATATATAATACATTGCGTATAATACAATAGCAGCTAAACAAGTTTTCCTGCTTAAAACATAAACATTATTTTATATAGTAATTTTCTATTTTGTTTTTATTTAGGTATTTTTGAAAAACATAAATTACTACTTTCACTTCAATTAGTCATTAAACTGGAAAGGACAAAAACTGTAATAACACAAAAGGAGCTGGATTTTTTTATCAGTGGGAATATATTAGCCCGTTCTGAAGCAGAAAATTCACCTTTCAAATGGATGAATAATGAGGTAATTTCTTTTCTTTTTCATTCTCTATCATTATCCCTCATTACATCTTTATGTGTGGATGTACATATACATATTGGAAGCTTTAGTGTTTCAATAATTTTTTTTTCCAGAGTTGGAATAATCTTCAACTGTTGTCTCAACAGTTTGACATATTTCACAATATAGGCAGTGAAATCAGTTCTCATTCTGACGAATGGAAGCAAGTAAGTTGTACAATTTTTCAATTTTAATTTTGATTGTAATAAATCAATGATTTCAGTGGTGTGAATCTGATGTGCCAGAAATACTCGACATGCCTAATGGTTATAGCAATAGAATAACACCTTTTGAGCTTTTAATGCTGATGCGGTGCCTAAGAATTGATCGTGTTTACCAGTGTGTAATAAACTTTGTTAAAAATGAAATTGGAGCGCATTATGTTACTGTGCCATTCACAACGTATGTTCAATGCTATTTGACTAGAGCTGGCAGATTATTAATTTATTTAAATATTCCAGCTTCATGAGCATATATGAAAAGAGCTCTAATTTTGCACCAGTGATATTTATTTTAAGTCCTGGTTCTGATCCTACTGCAAATCTTATGAAGTTAGCTGAGAAACTAAAGATGAATGATAAATTTAAATGCCTTTCTTTGGGTCAAGGGCAAGAAAAGGTAAATAATTTTGTAATAATGAAAAAAGTACTAAAATTATGATAATAACATAAAAAAATAATTTGTATATTATTTCTAGCTAGCTAGTAAAATGGTAGAAGAGGCTACAAATCTTGGAGAATGGATTATGCTGCAAAACTGCCATTTGCTTATACCATTCGTGAGAGAATTAGAAAAGAAATTAGAAAAAATCACATCCCCTCATGAAGACTTCCGATTATGGATTACTACGGAACAATCTGAGGATTTCCCCATTGGAATGTTACAAACTTCATTCAAAGGTGTGACTTTGACACATATATACTCAAAGAGTTGAGTACGAAGAGTTAATTTATACTTACTATTACATGTACAATTTCAAAACTTTGACTCGATTTCAATAAATATGCTTTAATTTGGCTAATATTATAGGTTATTTATACTACTAGATGTTCTAGATCTTCTATTTCTTCAACGTCAATTAACTTTCTGTGTAGTTAGTAAAGCCTATTTCAGAATGTTTAAAAATTTTCAAAACTACTGGAGAATTTTTCGCATGTATCGTTTTCAAAGTATAGGCTATATTTGACTTTTGGAATTATATAAGTTTTTATAAAATTGACTACAGCATTTGCAAATTGATTTTTAGAGAATTGTGCCAGAATTCTTGTTTTTGTTTTATTAAATAAATGTACAAATTTTGTTTTGCTAGACCAAATTCTACTTTGGAAATTATTATTTGGTTGTTTCCTTTGTTTAAAGGGCCATCGATAATTTTCATGACCATGTTATCTTCTACATTAGAATGCATCGCAAAGTCGATAAAAACTCATTCAGCTGTTCGTTCAGTCGTCATTGCTAACAATTAGCTTGTCTTGCGTTTCATTGACATTAATCTTGAATCGCAATAGCGCATCAGCAACAACATTTTCACATCTTTTCTTGTAAACTATTTCGTAATCAAATTCTTCTAAATTTAATCGCCACCGTAAAAAGTTTCAAATTTGGTTCATGCATTGAAAATAACCATGAAGGGGATGACGGTCACAATACATTTTGAATTTCCTGCCGAATAAATACATTTTGAAATATTTTATTGCCCATATGATTGCTAGTAGTTATTTTTCTATTACTAAAAGTTTTATTTCAGTGACGTTTAATGCTAATAATGACATAGGCTATTGAAAGGTCCGTTCCTTTAATTTTTTGGCTTAGAACAGTGCCAAGTGCAAATTCGTATTAAAATGTATTAAAAGACTCAATATAGACAGGGTTATTAATATCAATTTTTCTGTTTTTCTTGAGACAAATTGTTAATGTTGTGGTCAATTTTGCAAAATTTGGAATTAATTTACTATATATTATACTATTGATAGTAGCCCAGAAATCCTAAAAATCCTTTGATTTGTTTTGCTGTATTTGGAGGTGGATAGTTTTGAATCGCTTTTATTTCATCTGGGTTTGGTTTTATTCCTTTTTGTTAATATGCATAATCAATATAATATCATCAAGGTATGCAACAGCTTATTTTAAAAATTCTGTTTTGTTTTTTTTCTGGTTGTATTTTAAAATTATATTTCCTTAATCGATGAAAAACTTCTTTTAAATTGTCAATATGTTCTTGAAGCCTGATCCTGAAAATAATTATATCATCTAAATAGACCATACAGTTGATACTACCATTAAGGATATTATCCATCACATGTTGGAATGTAGGGGATGAGTTTTTAAGACCAAAAGGAGTCTTGCAAACTCATTGTGCCCATTTTCAGTGCTAAATGCTGCTTTTTGCACTGTTTTGATCCATTTCGATTTGGTGGAACCCAGAAGCTAATAATCAATTACCAATCGAAATTTTTTCTTCCCTGACGTACTTGTCTCCTTGGGATAATCCATATAGGGAAGTTCCACGCAGAAGCATATGGCTGTATTATTTTTTGATCTAACATTTCATTAATTTGTTTTCTAACTTCTTTTTTCTAAATGTCAGGATACTTATATGTTCGTACAAATGGGTATTTTATCCTTAGTTTGGATTATTCACTTGATGGGTAAATGTAAGAGGTTCATTTTCTCGATGAAAAATGTCCTGATAATTTTTTACCAATGTATACATTGCAAATTTTCTTCTTCATTCATACGATCTAATCTAATATCAATAGAGTCATTATTAATTTTTAGGGAAGGATTTTGTTTATTGAAATCTACTATACTCAATTGATCAGTTGATTCTGATTCAATTGGTTTTGGTATTGTGAAAATATCTGGTGTTTGTTGGTCAAAAACAACATGCCTCATGATTGATGACATTTACTAAGACTTTCTTTAATTTCTAAATTCTTATATTTTATAGGTGGAATGATAGCCATTCCTGTTTTTATGTTATTAAAAGGTATTTTTATAACTGGGAAAACCGAGCATTCCCTGCTATGTCGTATACATAATTTTTATTATGAGGGATATTTAAATATAAAATTTTAATTTTTGTTTATGTGGTAGGTTGTCCGTTTATGGCTTGTACTTTTGGTGTGAACATGTTTCTTTGGGTTTTGCGCCATTTTGTTTTTGGAAAATTATATGATTTTGAGTAAAAATTTGAAATATAAATTTTGGTGGAAGATTGAACTTAGAATGTGGTTATTTAGCTAGAACAGGTTTAAACACGGGATATTAGAAATCATTCGTCAGTATGTTGAGTGCCTGGTTTAATCTGTAGGGCTTCAGGTTCTCATCAAGGATTTTACACGTTCCCGAAGGCCACAAAGGAGTATCCTCAATGCTACATTTCTAGCGTATTCTATTAGAGTATTTGCTTGAATCGATGAGTGATTTTTAAAGTAAGCAATTTGTAGATTTAATAAATTTTGGATTTTTTGAAATAATCAAATGGTGATTCGTTTGATTGTTGGGCTAATTGAGTTATTTCAATTTGAAGAGAAAATGCATCTCTTTTATCAGCATAAGCATCTAGGAGCGCTTTTTTAAATCTGCACAACTGGTAGTTGTGGAATTTTGTAATATATTTGATCCTTCGCCTTTAATTTCATTCCTCGTACTAGATTATACGTACTTGTTTTGAAATCAATTAGGTCTGTTTAAATCTGCAAATGAACTTTTTGAGATATTTATAGAAATCTGTTTAAACCTTCTGGTTCACCAGTAAATTCTGGCACTATTTCTAAATATTCTTTTCTAAATTCTGGAGTTGCCTTGTTAGAAAATAGTAACATTTAATTTACTTAATTAAGTTTTGTAAAATGAAGTTAGAAAAAATTAATTTAGTATTTATTGTATACAGTTATTTTTTTTATAAATTTATTTAAACTTTTGTACATAGTACCTTATAGTTGTGGCATAATGTTTAACGGCATCAAACAGTTCTTGGATCCTTAAGCTCAGCAGCTCCCCCCATTAATTATTTATACATGATTTAATCTAATTTAATCACAGTTTATCACAGTTAATTATAGTTAGTTATCATATCGGTGTGTCGCTTGTGCTTGAGTCTGCGGTGTGGACGTGCAGGAGGTAGGTGGTCGGGTATTCCTTGGATTTCTGTGTTTGGGTGGGACTGGAACTTGCTAAACATCTTCCAGTAGCTGTCTCTCAGTGCATGGTCCCCTAGAGGCTTTGGGTCAGAAATGCCATCCTGTACTTTGACACAGAAAGTTCTTTCCGACAGGTAGGAAAGGATAAGTCGATAAGACAGGTAGGCTGTCTTTTATTTTTGCTAATAGTCCTGTATGCCATACTCTATGGAAAGCTTTCTCTGTATCAAGAAATAACCCCAGCGTGACTTTTTTATGTTCGAAGGCATCGAGGATGTTATCAATTACCCTCCGGAGCTGTTGTGGGCAGGAGTGTCCTTCTCGGAAACCAAATTGATGATCTGGGATCAGCGGCTTCAGGTATTTCATGAGGGTCGGGAGAATTAGCTGTTCAAAAGTTTTAGCAACAATTGGCCGATAATTCTCCGGATTTGATTTGTCCTTTTGTGGCTTGGGGATCATCACTATGTGGGCAAGCTTCCACTTGGAGTGAAAATAAGTGGTCCTGAGCATGGCATTAAATATTTGGGTGAGCTGTACAAGTGTTTTCCTTGGTAAGTTATTCAGAAGGGGTTGGGTGATCAGGTCTGCCCCTGGTGATTTCTTAGTTGGTGTTTTTGCAATCACTCTTTTAACCTGCACAGGAGAGAAAAAGTCCGAAAAGGGAAAAAGTTGTAGCGGTTGTGATAGTTTTTCCTCCATTTGCTTATCGTTGTTGTTATACGTGGTTTGGTTTGGCTTAAAGTGGTCAGCTAGGCATTGTGAAAATGTTTCAGCCTTTTCTTTCGGCAGGATTTGCCATTTATTGCCGCAAAGGAAAGGTGGGAATGTGGGCCGAGCATTTAGTAAGCTGTCTGGTTTTTTCCACAGGGATCCATCTGTTGGTTCTAGAGTCTGTAGCTCTTCAGTCATGCGCTTGTTGTTTTCTTCTTGCAATGCCTTCTTTAACTCTTCCGTTGCTTTATTATAGCGAGTTTTATCTTCTGGATGTCTGGTGCGCTCCCATTGTCTTCAGGCTGCTTTTTTGGCGTTGCACAGTTGTGTTATACGAGGTGTTGTTTTTGACTTTGATTTGTTCCTTGGTTGAGCTATCTTTTGGGAACTTGCTACAATTTTTGCTGCTTGGATGTTAGCTTTCAGTTCAGCCACGGACTTGTTGTTGTCTTCCGGGGTTTTTAGGGGCACTCTAAGGTTGGTCAGAGCTTCTAGGGTTGTTTGATAAAGTTCCCAGTTGAAAGGATAGTGGATTAGGGATAAGGGTTTTTGACATGTTGGGGTATGATGGAAATGTTTAGCCTCACTGGAAAATGGTCGATGAGAGGTTATGGTGTACTTCTGGGCGATTCCCTAAGTGGTAGATGTTTTTACCGAGGAAAATGTCTAGAACATCTGGGGTTTGACCTGTCATTGGGAAGTGAGTAGGCACTATAGGATGAAGTACTTCTAAGTTTTTGCGATTAACAAAGTCATGCACCATTTTTCCCCTTGTGTTAGCTGTGTTGGAGCCCCATCTCTGGTGTTCCGCATTGAAGTCTCCTCCCAAGATAAAGTGTGTTCCTGATGTGTGAAGTATGTGATTAAGGTGGTTTGCAAAGAGTTGGTGTTGGGGAGTGGAGTAGAAGGACCCGAAAACATAGAAGTGGCCATTAAAATTAGTTTTGATCTGGACATGAACTGTTGCTTCCCTCACTGGTGGTAGTTCATAACGAGATATGCACGATTTTATGAGGATAGCAGCACCTGCTTGCCGTTCTCCAGAAGGATGGTCAGCTCTATAGGCACAATATCCCTTTATCCCCAGTATCACATGAGGGGCTAACTTTGTTTCTGTGAGGAGCAGAATATCTATATGGTTAGAATGTAGAAAGTGCTCAAGCTCATTGATTTTGTTGGTAACACCTTTGGCGTTCCAAGTGCAGATTACTAATTCTGGGGGGTTAGGATTAATCATTGCGAAGTGTAAGTTTTGCTAGGACTTGAGCTAATATTTGCATTAGTGGTTGGATTAAGCTTATGAGTGAATCGATCTTGCTGAGGAGTGCTGAGAGAGGGGGGCTTTCTTCTTCTAGTGGTACACTGCCTTGTATCTTGTCTTGGTGTGTAAGGGTTGATGCATATGAAGGGCTAGGTTGGGCAAGGCGGGTAAGAAAGCTGACATCCTTTATTGGTTTGTTTGTGGCAACTTGTTTAGAGTCTGGTTAAGATGATTTGAGTAATTTTATATGTGCTGTGCATCCCCTGTAATTTGCTGTATGTGCCCCCTTACAGTTCACACACATAGGAGGAACATCGACTGGCTTATTGCATTGGTTGGTTGTATGTGTTCCATCACATTTTACACAGCGACTCTGCTTGTGGCAATAGTTTTTTGAATGCCAATACTCCTGAATGCATTGGATTATCATTTTTCTTGGCCTGGGGGGTTCTACTTTGATGTTATTTTTTGTTTACAATAAAAATAAAATTGTTGACTCATGCGAATACGTCTACCATGCCCACTCATCCTTGCAGAGTCTTCCTCAATGCAACTAATCTTTTATAATTTACTAATGTTACTGGAGGGGGAGAAAGTGCAACTTAATAATGCTTACACTTTATATATTCATATATTTTACTTTTTTTTTAACCGCCTTAACCGTTGTTGCCACCGACGCCCCCAGGTGTACTTGTAATTTGACATTATACCAGTTTCATGAGTTTTTAGAAAATAAATTGCAAACAGTAATACATTATTTTTAGTTGTAATGGAGTCACCAAATGGGTTGAAATTGAATCTCCGAAATTCGTTTTCTAAGATCGAAGAGTCATTCTTGAACAGCATTGATCATCCAGCATTCAAAAGCTTAATTTACATCACTACATTTTTCCATGCAGTAGTGCAGGTAATATTTTCAATAGTTTACTTTTAAAGAGTAACATCTATAATGCGATGAAACACCACTTTATTGTTATAAATCATGACATAAGCATGTAGTTCACAATTTTGGTACTAAGTATATTTCACAGATATTAACAGTTTTGTTGAAACAATTTAGGAAAGGCGAAAGTATGGGAAAGTTGGATGGAATATCAATTATGACTTTAGTGAGAGTGATTTTTCTATTAGCCTTGAAATAATAAAGAAATATCTCTTTAGAGCTTTGGAAACAAAAGAGAAAAAGGTCCCTTGGAACAGTTTAAAATGTCTAATAGGAGAGGTAAATCATTAAAATATTTTTTTTTTACTTTTTTAAATTAATCATGTCTAAATTTTGTTTTGTATCCTAAATGATTTAACGTATTCACAGGTTGTCTATGGAGGGAGAGTTATAGACCATTATGACAATAGAATTATCAATACTTATATGAATGTCTACATGGGCGATTTTGCTTTTGATGTCTTCCAACCTTTTTACTTTTATTGGGGTGGAGAGCACATATATGAAATTCCTCCTGAAGGTTCCAAAAATGATTATCTTAGTAAGCTTAATACATTTTTGGATAAATGAATGTAGTTTATAGTGTAGGAAGTAGATAGTTTCCAATTTATCCATTATTTTTCTGTTATTATTTATCTATTATTTGGATAGAAGTTTTTTTTTCTCTTTTTTATGAGAATTCACAACAGCAGAGGTCATGTAAACCCTCAGGGTACCGGTGTTTTTGAAAAAAAGCCCATTTGTAAGTATGTCGGGTTCGAATGCAGGGCTGCTGGATTCGAATCTCGTACCTTTACCTTACAGTGATGAGCGCCGTGTCAACACCTCAACCGATGCGGCCACCGCCGCCCCCAAGGATAGAAGTTAAAATATTACATATTTTGTAGCCTGATGATTATTATTTCCTTTTTATTATTTATTATTATGTCTTTCTTTCAAATTTAAAACTATTATTTATTATTGCTGCATAAATTTCAATTTGTTTGGTTTTATTAAAAAAACATTTGAGTGCTTATTTCGAAAATGATATTTAACACCCACATGCGGTCTGAGTATGTAAAATATACAAAAAACATAAATATACAAAATAAAAAACAAATTTAGAAAAAGCGACTTGTAGTACAGTACATATGAAAAAAGTTACCTCTGGAAGTCAAGAAAGCATGAAAATGGTTCATTTGAAAAATAGAAGGCCAAATTTTCGAGAAAAAAAAACCATCAGAGGTTCTTGGTAGTTTCACAAAGAAAGAAAAACCAAAGTGATTTTATCTCTGTCATCAGTGGGTTCAGTCTCTCTGAAGTCATTGTGTTAACATGTCTCCTGTTTTTTTCTGATTTTCAATTTTCTGAATAATATCTTCATTCACATTCATTCATAGAAGAAAAGTGCGGTTCCACACCTCCTATTGCTCCTTGAGACTTTTCTCCACGTCGATGTCCAAATAGTGTTTTTATCTTTCCCCATTTTTGTTGGGGAACACAAACATAGGATCAAATAACATAATTAAGTTAATAAGACATAATCATTATATTTACAATTTGCTTTCAATTTTTTCAGAATACATTGAAAAGTTACCATTAATAAGCCCGCCTGAATGCTACGGACTTCATTGGAATGCTCAACTTGGCTACTACACTGAAACCACAAAAGAATTGTTGTCAAATCTTAATAAACTGCAGCCTCAATCTCGTAAGAGAATTTTCCTTATATCTCTTATTTTCCAAATATAAAGCATAATAAGTAGCCCCTCCATGCCCCCCATTGTAAGTTCATTTTCTTTTTTTTCTTTTTACACACCATAGACATTATGATTCAGGTGTATGTACAGAATAATCTAAAGTTTTACTTTTATTATGTTTTGTCTCTTTATATTGAAAAATTTGTTCAATTTCATTCAAGGTTGTAGTACCCTTGATATAAGGGATGAAGATTTGATTAATAAAATGGCAACGGATATTATGGAATTGATTCGTGACCCATTTGACATTTCTAAAGTGAGAACTATCAACATGAACATTTCTTCACCATTAACTACAGTATTGGCTCACGAGCTGGACAAATTCAATGTTCTTTTGTTAAAATTGAAGACAAACCTTGTTAATTTAAAAAAGGCAAGTTACATTTATTTATATTACTTTATATGAATAGATTGAAGACTCTCTCAACAAAAGATAAAACCAAATATAGTAACAGTCTACAGTGTTATATCTTATGTGAAATATTTTTATGGAAATAACATCACAATTTTATACTATTCAACAAAACATAAAAATGTTTTTAATCTTTTTGGGACTAGTGACAAGTTATCTCATTCGGGCTTATATACTCTCTAGGTGTCTGCACACTCACAGCATTGATTGAGCTGAGGCTAAATCCATTGTGCAGGAAATATCTCGGTAGTAAATGGACGACTCTCAACACCTCCCATACCTTTCCTTTCCTGTCCCTCACCATGAGCAAACCACTCATTTTCCCTCTTCTGTTCACAATCTGGTCTCTCTCTCTCCCTCACTCTCTCACTCTCTCTCTCCCTCACTCTCTCACTCTCTCTCTCCCTCACTCTCTCTCTCTTTCTCTCTCACTTTTGCAAAATTGTGACAATCATTTTTCTGGAAAACCTGTCAGCCACAATATCTCCGTCTCTTTGGGAGTGTCCTACTCTCCTCTACCTCTTCCTCTTGCCCCTGCCTTTCCTAATGCTCAACCTTTCCCTACCATCAACCCTATTGTCTTTCTGATTTTTCACCTTTTCTCTGCCGAGTACTCTCACACAGTAATTTTTGGAATATATTTTTGTTTTTGTTGTCCTTATATATAATAATATATTTGTATGTATATGTTTTTATTATATTTATGTATGTATACATACAATATAAAATATATATATAAATTTTCAAATCTGTATGTGTGTATGTAAGTACATGAACAGAGCTGAGCTGTAATAATTAAGCTAAATAAGTAATCAGTATTTATTTTGCATTTTTGGTTATTATAGTTTAATACTTTTTGTTACAAATAACGTTTAAATTAAACACAACTGTCTCCTTCCATTCCACTTCTGTTGAAAACTGTTGTCTTAGCACTACTATCAAATTTTGAACGCAGTTAGTGTGCCTCAAAAAGAGTAAGAAGTGATTTGAAGTGAAAACTTTGAATTTTGATGCACAATGTAAACTAAATCAGGCTGGGGTCATATATGAATGGGCAGGGGAATTCGTTTTACAATAGAATCATAAAATCAGTCCCGAAAAAGTTAAGGTTTGATAAATGAACAAATAATATTACTGAAAAATGATAATTTATTAGGCAAAGACGGAGTGCATTAAAATATACTCTATAATTTTAAAATACAACCCTAGTATTAGTTTACAGAGCAATGAGAAAGCAATATTCTCAAATTTAATACTTTTTGATAAAAAAATTAAAAAATTAATTTCCTGTTTTCCTCCCACAATAGGCAATTAAAGGAGAAATTGGAATGGACATTGTCTTAGAAGATATTTCTGATAGCCTAAAGAGAGGTCAACTTCCAGATGAATGGAGTAAATTATCACAGCATACAACTAAAAATCTGGGAAGTTGGTTAGACTTTTTCAAGAAGCAGAGTGCACAGCTTGCCGAATGGGTAAATTGACAATCATATGCTTGAGAAATACTAATGCTTAAAGAAAACAAATTTTCAGGTTAGCATGGGTGAACCGATTGCCATTTGGCTTGCTGGCCTTGCATTTCCGGAAGCTTATTTAACAGCTCTTATTCAACAAGCGTGCAGAAAACAAGGCTGGCCATTAGAAGATGCTTCATTTACAACTTCAATAACCTCGTTTGTACACGAAGACGAAGTTGTTTCTAAACCAGATGATGTATGTAGTACATTTCAAAAATTTTGTATAACATTTTTTTCATAAAATTTGCCAGTTGGCCTGTGAAAATTTGACCTAACTTCGATTTTCCTTGGTCATATATACATTGTTAAAAAATGTACCTTTATTTCTGGTCAGACATGGTTTGCATATCTTCATTTTTCATGGCTGTCATATAACTGGCTATAAACTCAATTTTACATTGTTCAATTTTAAATTGAAGACTGATATTATTTATATTTGTAGATATAAGCTCACCTCCTCACACAAATGTATTGAATAGAGCTTATGACTGGTTTTGGGTGTCTAGGGTCAAACATCTATCTTATCAGTCCCACCATTTATGTTATGCTCCAGGACTGTCAACATCTCGGCCCCCAACATACACAATTTTTCAATTTTTAAACCGTCACAATATCTCTCTCACTCATTTTTAAGTACATTATTTCTTATTTACATACCATACACTCAAGTAGAGTGGAGTACTCAATATTCCTCCATGAGCCTTTACAAATATTATGTAATTAATCTAATCTAATTGAGGATTGATTGGGTACTCAATTGTCCATATTGGCCCTCTCACACTACGACATTAATAAATACATTCACTCTCAATGTACACAAAAGGTAATGCAAAAAATGCAAGATATGGTGGCTCAGCAAATAGTCTTCTTGCTGGGAAAAACCATTGTTGCATTGGGTCGTAGATCTTAAGCGTGATCGGATCACTGGAGGCCTTCTTTTTCTGATGAATTCCTTGGTATGGACAGGTGACTGATCTCCCTGCTGGACTTGAACTGTTTACTCTGAACACAGAACTGTTTTGGTGATCTTAGAAATATCTTCTCTCTGACACCAACTCTCTGAGACTGACTCTTAAATCTATGACTGTCAGAAACTGACTCTTGAATTCTGGTACAGGCCAGTCTTATAACCAGGCTCAACCAGGAGTGGCCTGAGGTTGTGAACATTGGATAACAAGACCACAGAGGATGAGGAAACGAGGAAACTGGGTCCTTGATGAGGATTTGTAGTGACCTTAGTTGATGAGACCTTGGATGAAGCAGCTGTCTATTCTTTAGACCATGGACACTAGCCAGTTAGGCCTAGAATATTATCTATCAATATTGTTTCCTCTAAAAATAAAAACAGAGGACCCAAATACTCGACAAATTCCTACACCTTTCTATATGGAGCCATGAACCTGAAGATAATTGAATCAATTGGTAAACTAATTGGCATAACTTTGTTTTTGGATTGGATTTGGATCTATATAGGCTCAAATCTGCACATGTATGTACATACATACACACATATGCTGAATTAATCCTATTAATTTCCTTTAGTCTACTGGCAATTCCAGGTTTTGCTATTTACAGTAAACTGCCAATCTGTCCAGCCACCTAGGTTAGGATCGGGGGGTCAACAGCTAGGTCAATCTTGCTAATAAATACATTCACTCTCGACACAAACTAGCTTTTCACAACTGTTACTACTATATACAGTAAGACAACCCCATTTCCTCCAAGAATCGGAACAGGGGACCCAAATACTTGCTGCTGTGCTCAAGCACAATTCACAAATCTGGTCACATTCCTGCACGTCTCTGTATGGTGCCAAGGAATTGCACCCTTCAATTAGGTGGGACACATCGAGCAACCTTTCTCTGCATGCCGGACACATACATGTATGATGGGGGGGAGGGGCTTTGGCCCAAAAGTAAGTGTACGTGTGTCAACCTTGCATGGCCTATTCTTAATTGGGTGAGAATGACTCTTCTTCTACGAGTCAGATCCTCTGAGGGTCACCCATTGACAGTGCTCGATAAGTGAAAACTTTTCTGTCAACCCAGCCCATTGATGCTGCCACCTTCTTTTAATCATGTTTCTTTGTAGCTTTCTTAATGTCAGAGGGCTGGATTGAGGTGGTTAAGTCCAGAGATTGAGACGCCCCCTTCACCTCCATTACCCTCCTCCCACATAGGTATGTGTCCAGGTACCCAGACAACAATGACTGTTTGAGATGTCCATATAGTCCCTAGCAGCGCAAGACTGGTAGTCCAGGTAGATTTTCTTATTTTGGACTACTTTGTTCCCAACATTTGGGGGGACAACTACCCACGATACAAACTGATTCGTTTGCCTGGGTCCTTGTCCATATTTGATGGTGTAAAGGGGCCGTATGTTATGCGCGTGTTCTTCTAGGGCATTGTTCGCTATGATCTCCTCGTGTAGCTCCTTAGTGTTGGTTTCTTTAGGGACTCGTAATATCAATATGCGCAGGTTTCTCTTGCCGAGAACGCAAGGTTTAAGGTCAGTCGCGCCTAATGTCTTCAAGACTGCTGATTTCGAGGCTGCATCATTAACCATGATGGCCACACCTCCTTTAGCTGTGGTGTGTATACCTTCTAAACGTAGCTTAGTTTCCCTAGGGTTTAGGTTCATTTTAACCTTGGTTAGAAGGTCGTTGGTTTGCATGCCCTCCGGGAGGTCCACCATAATCAGCTTGCGCTGTTCTTCTGTGGATCTCAGTATCTGGTCGCTCGTTATTATTTGGTTTCGGCTCTTAGTCTTAGGATGGTCTTTGGTTCTAACCCTGTCTGGATCCACTCTAGCCTCGCTTCCAACAAATCTCTCGCCACTCCCTATTTTGCGCCTATGTCCTTTGATCCTGTTAGGGGTGTCATGTGTGCTTACTGCGTCGTCAAGTTTTTTATTCTTTTTTACTCCCACATTCCAGGCAAGAGGATTAGCCTGGTTAATGTCTTTCCTGTGTTCCGTAGTAGGTTTAATTTTCAGCCCATTGCAGTTACGTAATTCGGCTAAGCTTTCTTGTAAAGCCGAAATGGCATTACAACCACAGGGAAAGCTTTAGCAACCGCTGATTGTTCTGCATTCTCTTGTTCCTTCTTCGACTTCGATTGCTCAATCCGCCCCCAGAGGAAGGCGTTTTCTTGAGCAATCTTTTGTGCGATATTATACAAATTATTAGTCAATTCAATAATGATGGAGGCAGCCGCTTTAGGGCATTTATTGGCAGGTTCCACGACATAAAGCGCCATTTTTCCCCTGATTCCACTAGCCTGTGCCAGTGCGTCAGCGTACGCGTGACGCTCTGGAGAGTCCAGTGCATCAGAAGGCAACTCCTGTGTATTCTCCGTCATCGTCAATTTTAGTAGAAGATGAAAATTAAGACTGAAATTTATTTAATTGTAAATTTAAAAGGATAATTTAGAGAGCAAACGTGTAGGTAAACGGTAACGTCTGAGGAAGGGGGAGGATGTCATAGGTTTAAGAAGAAAGATGCCAAATAGGACGGCAGCTGAAATGATAATGAAAATGAAAATAAAGACTGGCCAAGAACAATGGAAATGGGAATAAAAAGGATGGAATGAAGATATCGTGAAGGGAAGGGGATGAAGATGCCAACAAGAAGTGAAGCTAAAAATGAAGTAGGTAATGTAAAGGATAGAGGGGAAGGGGAGGGACAAAAGATGTCAGGTAAAAAAGATTACCGAAAAGATGCCTAAAGTACTGAGGGTGAAGAACAAAATTACGGTGAAGGGGATGAAGATGCCAACAAGAAGTAAATATAAAAATGAAGTAAGTGATGAATGAGATAGAGGAGAAGGGGAGGGACAAAGAATGTCAAGAGATGTCAAACAAGAAGAAGCCTGAGATGCCCACCAGAGATGACAAAAGATGCCAAATCTGGCGGGAAACCAGGCGGAAGTGAGCCGACAAAGACGAGGGCCACGTGGTCCAATTCGAACACGCGGATTCGATATATTTATTTATAACTGAAAATCTGTTCGATAGAATTTGTTCAAATTTCACACAGCTCCGTAAGACAATGTCTCCCACACGATGACAAATTTTCACGATCACTCGCGAAGTTGTTCACCGATTAGGTAACACTTTCTCATAAGCGCACTAATCCTTAATTAAAACATGCAAAAACTTGATAACATGCACACAACACATACCTGTATATGCCTGCCAATTTTCAAAGTAAAAGGCTTTCATTAAACCACTCAAAAGTGGATTCTGCTGAGGAGCGGTGGAGAGCGATGTTCACACTACCGCGGCTCGAGGAAGACTCATGAGTCGAAAACCAGCATACCTCAATCTAAGCTCCAAGAACTTAGCTTGGTAAAGGTATGGCAGAGTAGACGACTTGGCTAACATGGTGAAGTCTCCCCAGACGAGTATGGCTGGAAGGACCCAAGGCGGAGTCGGCCAGTTGTCCAGCTTGAGTAGCATTGCAAGTGTCATCCCTGCCCTCCCTAAGGCTTCGCCAAAGCGTATTCCTAGAGGTCGTGTCCAGGTCTGAAGTTGCTCGTATATTGTACTAAACTGGCATCTAAGGCACCCAAAAGTGGATGTCCCGGTTTGGCAAGGAACCCCTCCGCAAACCTTTCTTGGATCTTTAAGCTCAGCAGCTCCCCCCATTAATTATTTATACATGATTTAATCTAATTCAATCACAGTTTATCATAGTTAATTATAGTTAGTTATCATATCGGTGTGTCGCTTGCGCTTGAGTCTGCGGTGTGGACGTGCAGGAGGTAGGTGGTCCGGTATTCCTTAGATTTCTATGTTTGGGAGGGACTGGAACTTGCTAAACATCTTCCGGTAGCTGTCTCTTAGTGCATGGTCCACTAGAGGAATGTCCAGGTCTCAGTGCAGTGTGGTATTTTGCACATACCAGGGGGCTCCAGTTAAAATCCGTAAGGCCCTGTTTTGAAATGTAAGGATTCTCTTAATTTGGCTGTTCGACGCTGAGGCCCAAACACCCGAGCCATATGGGTCGAATGAGGGACATATATATATTAGTCTTTTGTTGCTCAGACTGATAGTTGGGCTCTTAAGTAATGGTTTGAGGTCAATTAGTCTGCATCGTGATCTCTTTAGCACATCGCTTATGTGTTGATGCCAAGTCAGCTTCCAGTCAAGAGTAACACCCAGATATTTTGTGTGTGTCAAATCACTGATATTCTTATTATTTAGTACCAGTTGTTGTTCATTGGCTTTTTCAGATAAGTGAACTGGACTAATTTTAATTTATATGGGTTTAGCTTGACTTACTTTGTCACAGAAAGTTCTTTCCGAAAGGTAGGAAAGGATAAGTCGATAGTAGGTGTCCGGTAGGCTGTCTTTTATTTTTGCTAATAGTCCTATATGCCATACTCTGTCGAAAGCTTTCTCTGTATCAATATACTTTCCTAAAGGTAGATTGGGGATGAGGCCATGAAGACAGAAACAACATTTATTTTCTTGTCGAGCTTTCGGCAGAATATATCGCCTTCATCAGGACTTCGAAAAAAAAAAAAAAATAAACCTCGGTTTATCGAAGGTGGGCTCTACCGGCTATCCGTTATCTACACACAAGTACCTGTTCATATAATATAACGATTTTTTTTTTCGAAGTCCTGATGAAGGCGATATATTCTGCCGAAAGCTCGACAAGAAAATAAATGTTGTTTCTGTCTTCATGGCCTCATCCCCAATCTACCTTTAGGAAAGTATATTTAAACTGAGAAGGCTGATCAAACACCAAAGAAAATATTTCTCTGTATCAAGAAATAACCCCAGCGTGATTTTTTTATGTTCGAAGGCATCAAGGATGTTGTCAATTACCCTCTGGAGCTGTTGTGGGCAGGAGTGTCCTTCTCGGAAACCAAATAGATGATCTGGGATCAGTGGCTTCAGGTATTTCAGGAGGGTTGGGAGAATAAGCTGTTCAAAAGTTTTAGCAACAATGCTAAGTAAACTTATTGTCCGATAATTTTCTGGATTTGATTTGTCCTTTTGTGGCTTGGGGATCATCACTATGTGGGCAAGCTTCCACTTGGAGGGAAAATAAGTGGTCCTGAGCATGGCATTAAATATTTGGGTGAGCTGTACAAGTGTTTTCCTTGGTAAGTTATTCAGAAGGGATTGGGTGATCAAGTTTGCCCCTGGTGATTTCTTAGTTGGTGTTTTTGCAATCACTCTTTTAACGTGCGCAGGAGAGAAAAAGTCCGAAAAGGGAAAAAGGATGTAGCGGTTGTGATAGTTTTTCCTCCATTTGCTTATCGTTGTTGTTATACGTGGTTTGGTTTGGCTTAAAGTGGTCAACTAGGCATTGCGAAAATGTTTCAGCCTTTTCTTTCGGCAGGATTTGCCATTTATTGCCGCAAAGGAAAGGTGGGAATGTGGGCCGAGCATTTAGTAAGCTGTCTGGTTTTTTCCACAGGGATCCATCTGTTGGTTCTAGTCTGTAGGTCTTCAGTCATGCGCTTGTTGTTTTCTTCTTGCAATGCCTTCTTTAACTCTTCCGTTGCTTTATTATAGCGAGTTTTATCTTCTGGATGTCTGGTGCGCTCCCATTGTCTTCAGGCTGCTTTTTTGGTGTTGCACAGTTGTGTTATACGAGGTGTTGTTTTTGACTTTGATTTGTTCCTTGGTTGAGCTATCTTTTGGGAACTTGCTACAATTTTTGCTGCTTGGATGTTAGCTTTCAGTTCAGCCACAGACTTGTCGTTGTCTTCCGGGGTTTTTAGGGGCACTCTAAGGTTGGTCAGAGCTTCTAGGGTTGTTTGATAAAGTTCCCAGTTGAAAGGATAGTGGATTAGGGATAAGGGTTTTTGACATGTTGGGGTGTGATGGAAATGTTTAGCCTCACTGGAAAATGGTCGATGAGAGGTCATGGTGTACTTCTGGGCGATTCCCTAAGTGGTAGATGTTTTTACCGAGGAAAATGTCAAGAACATCTGGGGTTTGACCTGTCATTGGGAAGTGAGTAGGCACTATAGGATGAAGTACTTCTAAGTTTTTGCGATTAACAAAGTCATGCACCATTTTTCCCCTTGTGTTAGCTGTGTTGGAGCCCCATCTCTGGTGTTCCGCATTGAAGTCTCCTCCCAAGATAAAGTGTGTTCCTGATGTGTGAAGTATGTGATTAAGGTGGTTTGCAAAGAGTTGGTGTTGGGGAGTGGAGTAGAAGTACCCGAAAACATAGAAGTGGCCATTAAAATTAGTTTTGATCTGGACATGAACTGTTGCTTCCCTCACTGGTGGTAGTTCATAATGAGATATGCAGGATTTTATGAGGATAGCAGCACCTGCTTGCCGTTCTCCAGAAGGATGGTCAGCTCTATAGGCACAATATCCCTTTATCCCCAGTATAACATGAGGGGCTAACTTTGTTTCTATGAGAAGCAGAATATCTATATGGTTAGAATGTAGAAAGTGCTCAAGCTCATTGATTTTGTTGGTAACACCTTTGGCGTTCCAAGTGCAGATTACTAATTCTGGGGAATTAGGATTAATCATTGCGAAGTGTAAGTTTTGCTAGGACTTGAGCTAATATTTGCAGTAGTGGTTGGATTAAGCTAAACTTTGTTTTTTGTCAATACAAAGTGTTCCTTCTGAAATATAACAAAAAAGCATTTGATTGTTAAAATCTAAGTATGATTCATTGTATAATCATGTATTTCACTGTTTCACAGGGGTGTTACTTGTATGGATTATATCTTGAAGGAGCAAGATGGGATAAGGAAAGAAAATGTATTGTACCATCACATGCCAAAATATTAATTGAGTCATTTCCTTTACTGCATTTTAAGCCTATTGCTAAACCTAGATATTCTACAAGTGATGTAATTGAATACAAAAAATAGATTTATGCTGGAGGATCATGCATTAATATATATTTAATATTTTTATTATTCAGTCATTGCTACTAACTCCAGTTTATATGACACCTCGTCGAAGGAACGCAGCTGGTGAAGGTTTGATTTTTGAAGTTGAACTGCCCATAACTTCTCATCAGAGCTTCTGGATACTTCAAGGGGTTTGTCTTGTTATGCTACCTGATTAAATTTGTATTAGTTTTCTTTTAATAAAATTGAGCAATTATGCATATTTTCATTTAACTGAGTATCACACCCATCTAAAACACTTTTATAGACAAGATAATTTAAAAAAAGAAGATATAAATTGATTCCTAGGCCAATCGATATATTAAATTACTACAATGAAATGATAGGATAATGAAAAATAATTATTCAGCTGGAGTAAACAAGCAACATTTTATTTCAAATTAATACAACACTAAAACAAATGATTTTCAGTTTATACAAATTCCAGCAATTTATCTTTCAACACATTGTTATACATTTTTCATTTTGTATTTCCAAATTCTAAGCTATTACATACAAAGGCTACTCTACTATTTGGTTATGAGATGCATATTTTCCAAAATATTTATATTTGAAAACATTTATTTATCCAGGGCATTTCCTTTAAGTAAAAACAAAGCATTGGTGTAGATAGTATAAGGCATCACAGTTCTATTGCTTCTGGACCTTTCCAGGTTATTCCGGATCTGACCAAATTGTAAAATTTCATTACTCCATATATTGCCAAAACCTATAACAATTAGAAAAATGTCATAAACATCACAACAAATAAAAAAATTATAATAATAATAATCAATTTTGAAGGGAGTGGGCAAATGAAATCTACAATTTTTCAATATTTGGTATAATAATTTACAAACGATAAATTGAGAAAAAATGATAGCTATGTAAATTGATTGCACTTATGAAATCACTTGGGCATTAATTTTTTTCATTTTCTATAAATGCATTACAGAATTTATTTTGCTTGAACAATTTTGTATTCTTAGCAGGTACAAGGTTTGTAGGATTAAGGTATCACAAACCCTCATTGTGAAATTGTTCTCAAACCTGAGGCATTAAAGATAGAAAAATCACCTAGGAGTGATTATTGACCAATTAACATGAATACACATCTTAAGACAACCGACCATAGAGCCTTAAAGGCATTGGTATGCCAAAGACTATGGAAAAGAGCTAAATCCTACAACCTTATGATCCATACCTTAAGACTGTCAGACCCATGATAACTTATTCAAAGTACTTATGGTAGTCAAAAATAGAACAAAAAGGCAGAGGAAAACTACAAAACGTCCAAAGAACGGCATACTATTAAAACAACACCTAGAGCTGAAATAAAATGTACATTCAAGCTGTGAGTTGCACCCTAATGCCTGAAAAGGACTGTGATGATGAAGGACTTCAGAATTATTTGGACAGTAGAAAGAAAGTACACTAACGAATGCTGACTATATCAAAATCTTCACAAAGTCAAAATAACTTACATGATTAGAACGATCTCTGACTCATCACAGAAAATACTAAACTTTGAAAAAAAACTCAACATTGTTATTGAAAAGAGATCTAATTGAAAAAATAAATCAAAAGAAAAACCACCTGTAGGTCTTCTATAGTACAGATGGCTCCAAGATAAAAAATGATATGGGAATGGGCATCATGGCCCTTGGCCCTATCCCGACCATTTCCTTCAAGCCAAACTGCTAGCCTTAGAAACATGAGAACATGCAATAAATCATAAACATTTCAAAGGTGCAACAATAGTAATACTTTCAGATAGTCAGACAGCTTTAAAGGCTCTCCAAGCTTACAACATCAACTCAAAACTTGTCTGGAACTGCCTAAATGCCCTAGACAAAAAGCTGAGATCTACAAGCAATGAGGAATTAGATATACTTGCTAAAACAACACATAGGTCCAAAACCATTTTGTGGCATAAACTATAGCAATATTAAAAATGAACTGAAATCCTGGGTAACTAAAGAACAAACAAATACTGAACTGACATAAACCAGGCATGACGCAAACAAATTACTACTCGCAAAACAACCCAATGGCCTTTTTCCAACAACAAAATGGGAGTTCAGCTCTGGCATAAAAAGAAGGCCTCTGGGCCATTTGTGACTTCTTTCCTCTTGTACTGACCACATTAGGAACTTCATTTTATGCAGAAGTCTGTTAAACAGTTCTTCTCAGCTAGCCCCACATTACATTTTGATATGCAAAATTTTAATTCCAATTGCTTTCTTAACATAATTTTTCTTCTCTTTTAATAAATCTCAAACACTATTTTTCCTTACAAGGGTTGAGTTAGTTAGGTATAGGGTTAAGGACAGGTTTTTATGGCTAAAATGTTTTTATTAATGTTAATATTTTATGTATGATGGAATATGACCATTCCACATGTCCATATCAGCAAGAACTGTCAACTAATCAAGCTAACAGTTTATTGCAATAATATTATTAAAGCAAGTGGAGAAAATATCCTCAATTAGATTCAATAGAAAAAAGTTCAAACAAAAATAAGTGATCAAATATACCTTCAAATTTAAAATATTATAATAAATGAGTATTTTAGTATTTAGGAATTATTAATTATTTAAACAGAAAAGAAATTATTTTAAAAAACTTACATTGAGAACAGATCTTGAAATGTAGAAAGCTACTTCTGCTTTACAAAGGGCATCAAATTGCTAAGAAAAGTAAAAAAAAAAATCCATCAATTAATTATAAACACAACATATTGCTTAATTACTAATCATTTAGGCATAAAAGGTAATGTTTCTCAAGGCTGTTCTTTTCATTTAATATGACTGAACATTCTCATTGATTGTCATGTTCACCAAAGATTACAATAATTTCCATTATAAGCAATAATTTTCATTCTAATTATAAATTACTATTACTAAGTTGAATGAACATGATGAGCAAGATTTTAGAAAGCAGGGGTTTGATTAGCCAAGTACTACAGCCTTTTGGTTTATTGTACTTTTAACTAGTTTCTCAGTTCAGATCTTGAATGCATTCACCAACTATTTTGAATAATATGATCTTTTTACATGCTAATGCTTTTAAGGCTGCTTGGGTGTCTGATCTTATGGGGATTGTTTTTTTGTTTTTTTTCTTTTAAGATTTTCTATGGCACAAGTATCTCAATAGCACGTACTTAACTTGAAAAACCGGGTGTATTTCAACTTTTTTAATCTGATACAACAAAAAGAAAAACTGATCTCTTTACTCGGACTCAGTAAAGCGATCAGTGTTGATCAGTTCGGTATTTTCTCAATCACTAATAATCCAGTAAACACCAATAAAATGGTAAAAGTAAAAAGAAACAGTATTACTTATTTATTGCTTTGTTCAAATGTTTGCTTGAACATTTTGCATGAACAATATAAAAAAAAATCGTTCAAAATATTAATAGTTAAGATATGATTTGCAATTCTACCTTATTCACATGATCTCGCAGTACATTAGAATAAACCATGGCAACTGCTTCCAACGCCATGAACGTTATAAATCCAACTATCCATGGTGAAATCAGGCTTGTCTTTTCCTAATAATACCAAACAAAATAAAAACATCATTTAATATAATCAGAATAAATGATTTTATCAATGTTCCTACTTACTTTAATAATCCCAATTAACAAAATGATACTGAGAACGACCATAAAGAGCTGTGTCCCAATTATTGCAAAATAAGCAATTTGCACACCTGCAAATAAACATACAAGTTTGTGTTTTAATTTTATATTGTATCAAAATATAAAAATAGATTTTTTGCATTCATTGTTCACTCTTAAAGATAATTAGAAACATTTGGTTGTGCTAGAATCAACCAATAATTAATATGTGAGATATTGTGACGAGGTCTGTATGGTGATGACCGAACAGCATGATCTCTGATCATTATGGTCTGGCTAAGTATTTATCTCAAAGTGTCATTGGTTTACTCCTAATAATTATGTCTTATTAGAATATTTTCTTGAAAGAGGAGGTATTCTTGAACAATGACCTGTCCACACTACTAAGAATATATTAGTCACTTCAGTTTTCAATTATAAATTCATATATTATCTAAGAATATATTAATCCTCTGGTCTTTATAATTCAATATCCCTCCCTAGCTGTCCCCATTAATAGATACCATCATGAGCATAAAGACCAACAGTTGGTTCAGACAGCATACCAGTAAAAGTGATCATGGCTTGTCTTCCAACCATCCTTCCTGTACTCCTTTACATTTATAATTTTTCTTTACAAAATTCCCTTTTTCTCAAATGATGGAAGCAATTGTCAAATCCTTAAATAAAGTCTCTAATCCCTCCTCTCCCAATGATTTCCGCCCCATTTCCATTATCTCTAACCTCGCTATACCTTTTGAAAAATTAGTTAACCCTCAAATTCCCAATTAATTAGAATCTTCAAACTTACTTGTACATCTACAATGTGAGCTTTGTTCTCTTTTCTCTATGAATTTGGCAATTTTAAAACTATCTTCCAATGTGTAGATGGCTATGGATCCAGGTGAAATTACTATTTTTGTCCTTCTTGATTTTTCTAAAACCTTTGACACCATAAACCATTATTTTCTTCTTTCTAAACTCAATTCCCTTTCCTTCTTCTACAGTGTTCTTCGATAGTTTCATTCCTTCCTCTCAGCCCATCTGCAAATAATCCTCATCCCACACAGCCCCCTTCCTCTCCCCTGCCCATCATTACTGGTGTACCTCAAGGCTCCAGTTTATCTGCCTTCCTCTTTTGTTGTTACATTAATGATCTTCATAAAATCCTTAAATATTGCACTTATCACCTCTACAAGAATGACTTCCACATTTATCTATCCTTTTCACCTCATAACCTTCAAATCGTAAGCACACGAATCCAAAAGGACCTAAATTCCATCAGCTCCTGGGCCGTTGAAAATGGACTTTCTCTAGATATCAATAAGTCCCAAGCTATAGGGTATGGATCCCACCCCTTCTCCAATCCTTATGTCCAATTCCTCTATTCTGCATTAACAACCAACTGATCTTTTAACCATCTGTCAAAAACCTTTATATCAACCTTGATCAAATCCTATCATGTAAACCCCACATTTCTCAAATCTCCTGCCACTGTTTCTCCACCCTCCAACAATTACGTCTTGAAGCCAACTCTTCCCAATCAGTACCCACAAA